ATTATCGTTCCTTCAAGTCCGAATGGTACCGTGTAACTTTCTCTTACGTTTACAACACGGTCGTAGAGTTGAAACTTGGTGTTTTGATCGGGGGGAACGTTACCAACAAATAAATCGGGCTAAAAAAATTATTTAATATATATTTTTTTTACGATTTTCATAAAACCCAACATATTCAGTTGAATATTATAATTTTTAACGCGAAAGGAAAGGGAAATAATGGAGGAGATGGAAAGGTTTGGGATAGAAATAATGGGAATTATGAAGTGAAAAAAAAAAAGAGAGGAAGTAATTATAATGGGAGGCTGGAATGAGAGAATAGGTAATGATATACACAAGGGGGGAGATAGTATAGGAGAATATGTAGATCAGGGAGAGGCAATGATGAATAGAAAGGGGCAAAGAATGGTGGAATTTTGTTAAATAAACGACTTATTGATTGGAAACACTATGTGGAGTCAGAGGAGAATCCTAAAAGTATTATTGATTACATCACATACACCCAGAATCTCCAAACCAGAGTCAATCACAGACTAGTCATGGCAACTATTAATAATATAGAAATCGAAAGAGAAGAGATGAAAACCTACACGAAAATAAACAGAGAAAAAAAGGAGGAAGAAAGATTAAAATATCAAGAAAAAACAAACAATGAATTTCGAAGACTAAAACAAACAGAGAATTTAACACTAGAGGAAAGGTGGAAATAAAGTGTAATAAAAGTGTGTGGAATGAGAAAATATAATAATCAGGCGAAGAGAGTACACTGATAGGATGAAGAGGTCCGACAGGTAATCAAGAAGAAGAAAGAGTCATGGAAGAAATACATAAGAACGAATTTGAGGAGGATAGAGCAAACTATAGAATGAACAGATTTGTAGCTAAGAATATGGCAATGGAGGCAAAAAAGAAAAGCTTCAGAATCAAATAAGAATACTGAAGGGAGATCAAAGGAAACAAATAAAAGCCGTCAAAGATAAAAACAACGAGATAAAGACAACTACAAGGGAAATTATGGACATATGGGCGGATTTTTATGCAGAAAAGTTCAAGGGTGGAAAACGGACACAAACAAAAATATAGCAACTGAAAAGGTTACAATGGCAGAATTAGGAGAGGCAATGATGTAAAGGAAAACAGAGAAGACTTGCAGCAATGACAAGATAAATCCGGAGATGATAAAATATTTGGGAATAAGAGGGAAGGAGTGACTTCTAAGTGCATATATATAAAACCGCATGGGAGTCGGAAACAATCCCAAAAGATTGGGAAGATAATATCTTCTACAAGTTTCAAATTAGAAATTAACTTTCAAACAAAGATAATAGAAAAAGGGTTAAGAAGAGTAGTGGAAAATAAACTAGAAGATGAACAAGCAGCATACAGAGCAAGCAAACATACGAACGACATCATTGAAAAGAAAATAAAGAAGGGCAATGAACTATATCTAATATTCTTGGACTTAAAAGCAGCTTTTGACATGATCAAACTTAGTATTATATGGAAGTGTCTAAAACAACTAATGGTACCACAAAAGCTAACAAAAATAATTTAAAACCAGTACAAGAAAGTCAAGGGCATACTACAAATGAAGGGAGAAACATCAAAAACTTTTGAAATGAGTAAGGGGATAAAACAAGGTGATAGCCTAAAACCCTTGTTATTTATAATATTAATGGACAGAGTCATAAAAAATACAAGAACAAATAAATATCAAACAGTAATGGATTATAAAAGTTTGGAACCTGTAAAAATAGAGTGCTGCTAGCAGAGAATTATAAAGTTGGTTGAAATATGGACAGAAGAAATTGCAAAGATGGGCCTAGAATTGAACGTAAATAAATGTAAAATCGTGATAATAAATAAAAAGGAAATAAAAAGTAACCCGAAAGAATTATTTATTAAGGAACAAAAGATAGAAGAAGTATCATCATGAGTACTTGGGCGGTATAATATCACAAAATGGAAGGATAGATTTAGACATAAATGCAAGAATAAGGAAAACAAATAACGTATATCATACTCTAAACAGAATAATTTTTATGAAGAAGGAGATAGATAACAGGATATAATTGAAAGTGTATAACTCGGTGGCAGTCTCAATATTAACATATGCCAATGAATCATGGAAATGAAATTTTTACGGAAAATACTGGGGAAGACGAAGTGGGATAGAATAAGTAATGAGGAAATAAGACTGGGAGTATATCAAGAGAAAAAATTAGCAAAATAGAGAGAAAGCACTAAACTGGTACGCCCAGATAATTAGAATGGAACATAACACAATAGTAAAAAAGGTATTTGAAGCAAATAATAAGGATAAGGAAAAGAAGAGAAGACCTAAGAAGCAGTGGGAGGAAAAAATAATAAATTTTATCCATGTTGCAAGTTAATTAAGTATTAATAAAGCAAAAACTTTTTTCTTGCTATTTATTAATACAGGTTGGTTCAGCTTTTAATCAGGAAACTTTACTAACACGTAGTACTTTCCAAAATAACACGTTTTTTATATCAACATAGGATCGCAACTCTTTTGTTTTCGAGCTAAGAGCTGTCAAAGTTGAGCCAAAAATTTACATTTTATCTTTTATTTCGGATATAAGTAAACCGTAGAATTTGAAATTTTGTAAGTACCTTAAACTTCCCTAGCGCCCACTAAGGGGATGACATTCACAACCCCTTTGATTTTTTTATAACACCTTTTTAATGCCATGGAATATTATTAACATAAAAAAATATGGGTTGTAAAGCTTATTCATTTTTGGTACTTTTTTGTCTCTTTAGTTTTTTCTTTAAAGATAATAGTTTTACCGTAAAAAAATAAAGCATGTTACATTGTACTGTAAAGTGCTACTATTATTAAAAGAAAACTTTTCTTTATAGCTGGCCTTGGAAGTTGTGCACTTACTAGGATCTAGTACTAACTAAATAACACCAATTTAATTATGATTTTCAAAGAAAAACCATAATTAATGAATGTTTGTCTAAACAAATTACGTTGTTTTAAACAATATTAAAAAATGGATACTCTTGCTTAATATTAATCAAAAATTATTAATAATCATCAACAATTATAAGGATTCACTGTAAATGAAACTTACAAGTTCTCAAAGCCAACATTTAGAATAATTTTAACTAAACATGGCGACACACTATTAACTTTAAGGAAAATACTAAAGAGACAAAAAAGTACCACTAAAGAATGAGCTTTACAACCCATATTTTTGAATGTTAATATTCCATAGCGTTCATATATTAAAGTACCCTTAAAATTCACTAAAGAAGCACCCCTTGAAGTTTGTTGCAGTCATCAGATACACCCTGTATAAAAAAAAGTTGTGTTATTTTGGCAAGTACTATGTCCTAGTAATGTTTCGCGATTAAAAACTGAACCACCCTGTATATACGAGACTAGTTTCGGGCTAAATGCCCATCTTTAGCCAAATCTATATGCACAACATAGAAAACATTACACAAAAACCCAATTATTGTGATCATTGCTTACTTACTGTCAAAAAGGAACCAATGGTAAAAATATCTTAGTAATATATAACCTCAATTTTCGGCAAGTACTCAACGCTGAATGTTTGTGTTTTAATTGTTTTCTTGGTTCTTTGTCGGTAGTTTTTAAGTGTTAATTTATAAGATTGATCGAGATAAACATAAATGTTGTTATTATAGTGAAATTTTTAACCAAGATATTTTTACCATTAGTTCCTTTTTGACAGTAAGTAAGCAATGATCATATTAATTGGGTTTTTGTATAATATTTTGTATGTTGCGCATATATATTTGGCTGAAGATGGGCATTTAGATCGAAACTAGTCCCAAATATACAGAGTGTTTCTAAATTGATGCGATAGATTTCAAGGAGTGATTTTTCAACAAAAATTCCTCTTCTCCACCGAGTTACAGCACTCTAAAGTTACGAGGAAAGAAATTGTTTTTATTTAATAATTCCACTATGGAGGAATTTAGAAGAATGAAATTTGGCAGAAAACTGTTGCTAATAAAATGACACTTTTTATAACCCAAAAATGTTATTACAAGGGGCTGAAAAAATTAACCTCTATAATACTTTGCATCAGAACTTTTTAATGCGTCTACATTTTTCTATTTAAAAACTTTGATTGAAATAGAGGAATTCAATACGCAACTTTTTTGTCTCTTGATATTTTTTCCTAAAATTGTTAGTTTGATCACAAAAAAATAAAATAATACACAGGCTCAAGCGAATTAATTCAGAGATTGGTTATTATTAGTCAAAGAAATGAAGTTATGTCAAATAGATCTCAGCATTATTTTATTTTTTGTGATCAAACTAACAATTTGTTAGTTATAAAATTAAAAAAATGGATTTTTTCCCATAACTTTAGATGGCTATAACTTGGAGGAGAAGGGGTTTAGAACTAAATGTTATATACCCCTTAACTTTTGCTGAAAAATAACCCCTTAAAATATTTCGCATCAATTTAGAAACAGCCTGTATTAATAAATAGCAAGGAAGAAGTTTTTGTCGTTTTATTAATAAAGGAATTAGCTAAGAACTGGAAGGAGTGGAAGAAATAGATGGAGGAATAGGAAAAAGATTTATCCAACGCCATCAAATATAAGAATCAGGAGAAGAAGATAAAACTCACTTTATATAAAACATGCGGTTTAACTTGCATATTCGTAATTTTTGGTTTCGCTGTCTTTACATATTCATCAATAGTTTTTTCTAAACATTTTATAACCTCAGGCTCCAAAACACAACTTCCACAAGATCTTCGTTCAAACGAATAATATTCTTGGCTCTTTATCCACTTTACAATTGCTGCGACTTTTTCTTTTCTACAACAAATCAATCAAATCAAAACAGCCAAGATAACTGCATTAATTATACCCATCCCCCTCCGGATAGATATCCTCCAAATAATAAACATTTTCATTATGCAAATTAACGTAAGAAAAAACTTCAGGGAAAAGTTCTTTGAATTGCTTAACAAGCTCCACCGCTTTTTCCGAATAATACCAAAAATTTCCATCTTTTCTTGTATATCCAGGAATTTCTTCGTTTCTTTTGCTAAATTTTAAGTTAAGCCCAACATTAACTTTACTAGATTCATCAGTTGTTTGGAATCTGGGTACTGTAGATATTAAAATACTTCCTGTTATCCTCGAAAATAAAATCTTAGAAATTGCTAAAAAAAATTTATAAAATAAATTCGAAAAAATTATTAAAAAAATATATTTACCAATTCGAGTTGAAGCATCATGAGAATTCATATACTTAGTCCTCATTTGCGTTTCTAATATTTGTATATCATCCAAATTAGGTTCATCATAGCTTTTCATGCAAATTTTTAATCGTCCATTCTTAATGCAATCTTTGCTATCTTTCACTGTACCACAAGATCCATAACATGGATGACTCAACATGAAGCATAAAGATCCAACAGGGAAAAGACTTTCAATATCTCTAAACGCCGAATGAACATCGTCATTAACCAAAATTTCTTTAACAATTGATTGTAATGGATAAGGAGAAGTTATAGGAGCCCATTGCTTTTCTAGTGTAACTCGTCCAGCTTGAGTAAACATATATTTACGTCCAATCATGACTTTTACATGGACTAAGATAGAGACTGGACCTACTTCAATTCCAAAACGAGATTTATACCTTTAAAAGAACGATTAAATTGAAATTGTTTAAAATTATAATTGATATTTACCGATCTGAGATTGTTGAACTCTCTAATTGCCAATCTTTAGCGACGTTTCCTTTATTTTCAACGATGTTAAAATTACCTGGTTCTTTTGTGTGGTGGTAGCGGAAATTTTTATTTGAAACTGAGACAACTCTAAAATGTAAAGATTAAAAATTTTAGTTTAAAACCTAATTATTACAAATTAATATCTTAAAAAGTTACTTACAAAGCTTCCACTAAATGTGGCCAAGCAACATAAACAGTTTTTCCAAGTAAATCTTTTGCAACTTCCTCTAATGGTGGAACATCATCGTTTACTTTTAATGTGAGAATCATACTTTCATTTCGACTGGATTGTTCGTGAACTTTTACTTTAATATTAGCAACATGATGCTGTTTTTGAAACAAAATCTCATTATTTAATCGAAAAATTTAAAATTATAAGCTTACCGTGTATTCTAAATGTTTAGTAGTAGGAAAACCAGGGAAATAAATCTCTTGTTTAACCCCCGGATATGCTCCTTTAATAAGTTTGTCTTTGGGGACTCGTACATCGTCTATACTAAGTTTTGTACAAGTCGTAAAATTATTAGGAATCGTTGGGAAGTATTCAGGAGCTGGATAAGGTCCTTGATCCATTTTGCTGTATTGATAAATCAACATTGGTCCTTCTTTATTTCCTTCAATTTCTTCGGGTGTTAATTCTAAATTGCACGGTTTCATTGCTTCTAATAATAACACTTCGTTAATGAACGGTATTAAAACGACTGCTTCCCAATCGTGTTTCTTTCCGTTCAAATCGGTCATGAAATCGTTCGGATAAAAATCTTTTAACATTGAATTTTCGTCCGTCATCAATTTATGATATGCACTTGGTAACAACTTTTTGCTTAAAGGTGGTAATACCGCTAAAAGCTATAAAAAGAATTAATTTTTTTAGTGATTGAATTAAAAAAATTATACTTGTTCGTAAGGTTTAAAAGGTTTCCCCAAATCAAACTCTATTTTTAAGTCGGAAAACCCTTTAATATCCGATATGTAAGGAGCATAATGATGGGGGTAATACCAACTCCATGAACAACAACCGTTGTAGTAATAATTTAAATTCCACTGGATGGCTCTCACATAACCATGAGCCTGAGCTTGCAACACTTCACTAAAAAAACACAAGTAATCATGAGATACTTTAAATTAAAATTTGTAAATTACGCTGTAACATTAGGGTATTCTAATTTATTTCTGTAGTAATCGGTTTTATGCTGAGTAAATTCCATTTGGATCATTTCTAAATCTCGGTCGGAAGAATCACTTCTTTCGTCAATCTCTAAATTATCTAAGTTTAAGTCATTTGGGTCAGAAAACTAAAATAAAAACGATATAAATCAAATTTAAAAAATATATATATACAGGGTGACTGGGAACGTATTTATTGAAATGCATTATTATAGAGATCATTTGCAATATAGTTCAATAGTTTAATTTTGCGTAAAATGTCCTCGTTTACAAGAAGTTTTGAGTATGTTTTGATACATTGATGGTTTCTGTGATGGAAACGCGGCAGCAGCTCGTCGAGAGTTCTAGGGTTTAGTTGAGACTGGTAATTTAAAAAAAGCCGAACGTATAGGACCTAGTCGTCTTAATACAGAAGAGGAAGTTTTGGGTGCATTCGAAGAAGCATCCAGGTAGAAGTAGCCACTAATCTGGGGATATCACAATGGAAGGTATGGTCAACTATTCGACAAATAGGCAATCATCCATACCACTATACTCCTCTCCAAGCACTTGAAGAAGGCGATCTGGAGCGAAGGATTCAATTTGAATCCTTTCTTGAAGATGGATATTTCTTGAAAAGAATTTTGTGGACAGATGAATCCACGTTTTATAGAAAAGGTATAACAAATCTTCATAATTTACATTATTGGACTGACGAAAATCCGTTCGAAAGCTTTAACGTGTGGATAGAGCTCATTGGAAATAATAAAATATAAATATAATATAAATGCCCTCCACACAATTCCTAAAATGTTCGAAATTCATTAAATGAAATGTTTCCTAATCGTTGAATTGAAAGAGGAGGACCAATTCCATGGCCTGCAAGGAGTCCTGATTTGACATCCCTTGATTTTTATGTGTGGGGGCCACATAAAAGAAAGAGTGTATGCTATATGTTTAAAAAACGTTAATTACAAGTAAGATAATAAGATGGGAAATCAGGAAAAGAGTTCGTGCATGTATTAGGACTAGAGGTGCAGTTAATTACCTTTGGTTACTTGTTTTTGTTGATGTGATACATAAAATTGCTTAAATTACCTTTTGGCTAACTTTTGCCAGCTATAAAAATTGTAATCACTCCAATTGTTATAAATTATTTGTTTAGTCAATAGCTATTAATGAATTAAACTCAACCTTACGATTTATTTTTATCAGGAATTAACGTTTTTAGTTTCTATTCGCTAAAATAAATAATAGGCGTAATAGATTTTGAATTTTTTTAACTTTGGGTAAATTGTCAAAATTATACCATTCATCAATGCTTATCTTATTATTAGCTAATTGGAAAGAAATTTACCCCTGCTTAATACCTCATTTGAAAGGTTATAAAACAGAGAAGTTTTGAACATAACTTGTACGCCAAATATTTTGAATAGACACTCATAAAAAAGTTGTTTGTCTTAAACATTAAGTCACGAAACATTTTTTCCCTGTATTTTTAAACAATCGAAATATTTAAAATATTCTTCATCTTAAAATGTGTATTAAAGTGTAGTCTATCCAGAGAAGTCAATATGATGCCAAAGAAACTATTATTAAACTCTAAACTCCAATATTTGTAGGAGTATATAATGAAAATGCACAAAAACCAAAAAATTGAAATAATTACTAAACTATTCAACTTTGTATAAGGCATATTTGGCTTAATCAATTGCAAATGAACTCTATAATACTCAATTTCAATATACAGAATCGCTGATATGTATGGAAACGGTCTATTACAATAAAGATAAATTAAATATACAGGGTTATGACGAAACAAAGTTACATTTTCTTTAATGGAACACCCTATATATTATTCTATATTTCGGTTCATCTTGAAATTCTAAACAAAATTCATGTAGCACATCATACACCTACACTTAACTGTTTTCGAGATATTGAACTTTCAAAATCAGTCTTATGTTTGAGTCGATTATATACACAGTTCATCAAGTTACCTTTGAAAGTTTCTCGTTTCCATAGCAACGCAGTGACATAACACATGTCAAAAATACAAAAATAGTTTGAATAATTTGCACCTAAAAATGAATTACGTAACTAATAAGATAAAATCGTAATTTTTTAAAAGCTCGAAAACGGTTATTTTAGACTTATGATGTGCTTCATGAATTTTGTTTAGAATTTCAAAATGAACCGAAATACGGAATAATATACAGGCTGTTCCATTAAAGAAAACGCAATTGATATTTATTGTAATAGATTTTAAAAAATAGTAAAACTTTTGCATCTTAACATTTTTCGTTAGATATCTTACTTTAGGAGATAATCGACCATTTCCATACATATCAGCGATCCTGTATATGTTTATGTGCCAGTCATATATACAGGATGGTTCTAAATTGATGCGAAAGATTTCGAGGGTGATTTTTTAGCGAAAATTAAGGGGTGTTTTTCATATAACTTTTTGTGCAAAAACCCTTTTCCTGCAAGCTATAGCTCTTTAAAATTAAGGGAAAAAATCTGCAACTTTCTTATCTCTTGACATTTTATAACTAACAAATTGTTAGTTTGATCACAATAAATAAAATAATGCTGAGATCAATTTGACATAACTTCATGTTTTTCACTAATAATAACCAATCTCTGAATTAATTCGCCTGAGCCTGTGTATTATTTTATTTTTTTGTGATCACACTAACAATTTTAGGAGAAAATGACTAGAGAGAAAAAAGTTGCGTATCGAATCCCTCTATTTAAATCAAGTTTTTAAAGAGAAAAACGTAGACGCATTAAAAAGTTCTGATGAAAAGTATAATAGGGGTTGATTTTTTCAGCCCCTGGTAATAACATTTTCTGGTTATAAAAATCGTTAAAAAGTGTCATTTTATTAGCAACAGTTATCCGCTATCTGCTATATTTCATTCTTCTAAATTCCTCCATAGTGGATTTATTAAATAAAAACAATTCTTTTCCCTAACTTTAGAGTGCTGTAACTCGGTGGGGAAGGGGTTGGGTTAGGTTAATCTTTGGCATCAATTTAGAAACACCTGTATATATACAGGTGTCTCATGTAACTGGTTACGTTTGAACTTTTTCAGGTTCCACTATTCGTAGAGATTACAAATTTTGGTAACATTGGTTGTCCATTCAGAACTTTCGATCTAAAATATTTTCAAGATGGCCTCCACTTCCGGTCTACCGGAAGTAGACCACAACTTCGTTGTTTTAAATTGAATGATATAGTTTTTATTACAGTTTTTAATTGTATCTAAAAAAATATGTTAACTTTCATAAAAGTAATTGGTACCTAGCGTGTTTCGTTTTCGAATTATTTTTAGTTTTAAGCTTTTTTTGGTAAATTTCAACGTGCTCTTTGAAACCCCACATCTCAGCCAACGTTCATTCAAAAAAGATCTATATTGGCACAATTACTCTTCAGATGCTGTCAAATAGATTGTCATTTGTTGTATTGGAGTATCTTATACAGGTGGTCAAAAATTGAATTACTCGAAATTCAATGAAGAATATATATTTTTTAGCCTATCAGAAATGGAATTCAATTCTCTACAAATTATCTATAAACATTCCTATACCTATTTATTGTAATTTGCCTCATATTGGGTAATTTATTAAAATATGCACGAAATGCAGGTTTTTTTTATTAGAAAGCTATGGAATTTTGACAGTTTTTGGTCCATGTTTATGTTGTTGTTGTCATTAGTTATATTTGATGACGTGTGTAAGTCATTGAACATCATGGAGAAGATTTTCTTAGTTCTGGACATATCAAGACCAAAAGAAACCGCATATTTCCGGTCACCAATAATGAAGACAACAAAATAAATATTTGATTGTATTTTATTGCATCTTCTATTTGTTATTTGTGGTAACTAAAAGATTATCAATTGTAGTTAATAGCACAAATAATAATAGAAATAAATTAAACAAAAAACTGTCAAAATGTCATGGTCTTCTAATAAAAATACAAATGGTTTCCTGCGTTTTCCGCATGTTTTGATAAATTGCCCAATATGAGAGAAACTACAATAAATAGGTATAGGAATATTTATAGATAAATTGTAGAGAATTAAATTCTCTTTCGGGTAGGCTAATAAAATATAGAGCGTTCCATTTAAAATTTTCGACTTTCTGGCGGTTGAATATGGAGAAACGGTAATTCAATTTTTGATCAGCGCGTATAAGATACTCTGGTACAATAAATCACAATCTCTTTGACAGCATCTGAAGAGTAATCCTGCCAATGTAGATCTTTTTTGAATGAACGTTGGCTGAGATATGGGGTTTTAAAGAACATGTTGAGATTTACCAAAAAAAGCTTAAAACCAAAATAACTCGAAAACGAAAAACGCTAGGTACCAATTACTTTTATGAAAATTAACATATTTTTTTACATACAATTAAAATCTGTAATAAAAACTTAAAATAACGAAGTTATGGTCCACTTCCGGTAGACCGGAAGTGGCACCCATTTTGAAAATACTTTAGATTGAAAGTTCTGAATGAACAACCCATCCTACCAAAATTTTAAAACTGTATGAATGGTGGAACCTCTATAAAAGTTCTAACGAACCAGTTATGTGAAACATCCTGTATATACCCACCATATCATCCGTATTTTTAATAAGCGCAGCTAATTCCGAATTAATAGGTTTTGTTGGTTCTAACGCCTCAAATTCCACAACATCCCCATCGTCCTCCCATTCTTCCAATTTCCCCTAAAATTAATTAATAAAATTACAAAAAAAAAATCATAAAAAATTGATTTAATTAATACTCTTGTTCCAAATTTTCTACCAGTTTTAGCTTCGAAATATTTTAAATCAGCACATTGGTCTGAGAAATGCTCAAACTCAACTTCAGCTAAAGCTTCTAAAAATTTTTCAAATCGTGGTAAATTCAACGTTCCCGATTCGTTTAAATACCCATCAAAAGTTGGTAAAACCTTCATATACGTTTTATAAAGCGCCGGGATAGCTCCTTCGCCAATATGTAAATAAGGGAGATGAGGAATAAAATCATTTCCGACTAAAAATCCCATCAGAACCCAATCGTCGATGATTTTTTCGATGTCGTATTTAAAAGCGAGTTGGTTCGATGTTTCGAGATCTTTAAATTCCAACCCAAGGTATTCTCTCATTAACGATAAGTGTAATAGGTAAAATGTAATTTCTTCTGGGGCTGACCTTTTTCGATTGGCTTTTCTGCCAAATTTTACCTCTTCGCGTAATAATGAAAAATGTGGTTCGTGTGTACATAAACCTAACATTATTAAATCTGCGTCTAAACCATATAAACAATGTCTTGTGTTTGGGTCATAACCCGGTTGGGCCCTTATATATCGGATGTAATCCATTATTTTATGTTCTCCTTCACCGGGAGTCTAAAAAAATTAAAAATTTATTATTTTACTAATAAATTTGGTAAATTATTTTACTTACTTCGTGCCCTGATAATATAATTTTACATTTTTGCCACAATTTGTCATTAGAAATTTTATCAACAACAAAATACTTTAACTGTTGTTGTAATTTAATCATAAAACTAGTCCCAGGGGTGATACAATTAGAATCAAATCGATCATCCATAGGCAAAATTTCACCCTTTTTAACAGCCTTTTCAATCATTTTCTCAGCATCCTTAGCAGATCTAAATCTCCTTGCTCTTTGTTGATTCATTTTTGCTCTTGGAGCAACACCGTCGATTGCCATAAAAAACAATTTTTGAGGTTTAATCATTCTAAACAAAACCTCAATATAATGGAAGATATCTTGAAAAATTTTCTCTTCCGAAATACGAAAGTGAGGATCATCATCATCGGGATGCGAGCAATTATGAATGATTCCATTCATATCCAAATATAAATTATCAAAAGCGGGAATCTGAAATGTTTAATTAATTTAGTACAATTAAGGCATGATTTATTGAGTACTTACTTGGTATTCCTTTACGATTTCACTTAGGCAAGGATACCTTTCGGTGATGTATCTGAAGAATTTTGGGACACCCATGATTTCCGAAATATAAACTAACACAAGTTTAAGTTATTATTTAAAAAGATATACACAAACAGTTTTACGGTATTTATCAACAAAACGATTGAGCAACTTGTTGAAATAGCGCTTTATGAAAATTTACACCATATTTAGCTTGAAGCTGCGTCTAAATGAGGAACGTTTATTTTTGCATCAAACCAAATCAACAAAATATCCCTAAAAAAGAAAAATATTCAAATGATAAAGTTACAATTTAAACTTTAAAAATTATTAAATCACTTATTAATTTACATCTTTCTCGTCAAAACAACACAGATAATTATTATATAATAATTATTTAAATTATTAATCACCTATTATAATTAAATGATGTAACCAACTTCACACTTATTACTTGGAAAAACATCTGATTAAATCACGTCACTTTTACATTTCACCGATTTGAGGTTAGGATTAAAGCATGTTAACCTTTCACTTTTAAACCGTGGCATTTACAATTAGAAAGTAAATGAAACTCCGTTGTTTATTGTCGAAACTTAGCAAAAACAGCCGCTTAATCCAACATAAGTGTCACATTACCTCAAATCAATTTAATTTACGATCTTTCTCTCTAACATCTGTTATATTTAACAAGTGGGGTACCAAGAAGAAGGCAAGAAATATACAATTAAAGTATTCGTATTTGGAAAATATGGCTGATCCTAAAATTGAAGAAATTTTAGCCCCTTTAAGAGCTAGTGTTAAAGAACAGGTGATGATGCAATATTTATTGTTATTTATTTAATGCTTTTTTTTTGTTTTTGTTTAGGGAGATTATGTGAGGAAATTAAAATCGGAAGGAGCACCAGTATTAGATGTAAAAAAAGCCGTCGTTGAATTAAACTTACGTAAAAAAGCTTTAGAAGATAAAGAATTAAGCTTAATGCCTGTTACCGCAACTTTTGATAGAGCAAAAATGGAAGATTTATTAAAACGGAGATTCTTTTTTGACCAATCTTTCGCTATTTACGGTGGAATAACTGGACAATTTGATTTTGGTCCGATGGGATGTGCCTTTAAAGCGAATTTATTACAAGCTTGGAGACAATTTTTTGTTCTTGAGGAGCAAATGCTTGAAGTTGATTGTTCTGTTTTAACTCCAGAACCTGTTTTAAAGTAACAAAAATTATTTTAATTTAACCCTTTACTTTAAGAATAAGTCTATTACATTACTAATCTACTCAGAAGCTCACAAACCATTGAAAATATGTGTAGAATTGCTGAAAGTATTTCACAAAAAGCTTTATGTGCCATATACTGGGTTAATTAAGTATCTGTCGTCATCATTGCAAGTATACAACCAAATACGCAAATCGCGTATTGTAATACCAACATTGTAATATTGGTTGCATACTTGGAATGATGACGTCGGGTACGATAATTATAATTAATTAACACACTGTATATGGCACAATTTGATGAAGTATAAGCAAAAATTAACAACAAAACTTTTAGTATAATATTTGGTTTTAATTATATTACAAGAAATACAGGTGTTTCTAAATAATGCTGAAAAAATCAACCCCTATGATACTTTGCATCACAACTTTTTAATGCGTCTACATTTAAAAACTTGATTTAAATAGAGGGAAGTTGCAGATTTTTCCCTTAACTTAAGCAGACTATAACTTGGAGGAGAAGGGGTTTTGAACAAAAAGTTATATGAAAGGTACCCCTTAATTTTTGCTGAAAAATCACCCCTTGAAATCTTTCGCATCAATTTAGAAACAGCCTCCTGTATAACATAGATTTAAATTTATTCTACATGAAAATCTTTATTCAAACAAAGCTGAACATTATATTTTGTTCATATTACAAAGGATTTTCCTCGACATTCTGGATATTTACACCGTTGGTGTTCATCAGAAATCCATTTTGGTAGGTAATTAAGATTGTTCTTGCGAACGTCTTGGGCAGGACTTTCTGAGAACGGCTATTTTTTTCGTTTTTAGATTCAGTTTAGGCTGTAGTTTAGTCTGCCGCGCTTTTTTGGAATTGTTTTTGATTTTGTTAGCACTTCAGCTACTCCTAGTTTGAATTCAAAAAGTGGCAAATACGTATCTGAATCAGGAATCCATAAAAGCCATGCATTTACATACAGGGTGATTCTCAACTTATACGCATAAACTTGAGGCTTTATTCCTCATAACAAATAATGACTAATCGATGAAAAAAATTGTAGTAAAAGTTTCTTAGTGTGTTTTATCATGTGTTTCCTGTAGGATGGATAGGTCGAGATGGCCTGGCCACCATGATCTTAAAAAGTATAATATAGCATTTAAATTAACAATGTTGGTTGCCATAGCAACGAAACAAAAAACAATACAAACAAGCAAACATTGTCAAAAAATGCGCCACGACTAATAAAGAAACTTGTATTTGAAACATTTTTCTTTAAAACCACAAATGGCGAAGTTATTGGCTATATTCCAGACATTTGACACACCCTGTATAATTTCTTTGTTTCCGACAAAATCTTTGAACTTCAGACTCATTTTGACTTCCGACATAGGTTGATATGGTTGTAACTAGCTTATTGTCAAGTGATATGTCTACGCCATCTATATTTGCAACTTTTTCAATTATGGTACCCCTTCCCTTCTTCTTTAAAACGTTATATTGAGGTAAATTACTGCTTGGTACTCGATTTCTTCTAACAGTACCAAGAAGTAAAATATTTGGCTGATTTGGTGGTGATTCAGTCACTCCTGCGTAAATGTTAAAATCATAACTAACTCCCGATACACTTCTTAGAACAAATACTTTGTAACCCCACTTGTGGAGTTTCATAGGTTTATATTGTTTTAGATGGGATTTAGCTTTTGTAGGTATGATTTGCTCATCTACGGCCATATGTTCTTCCTTGGGAATTGTAACCAATCTTTCTCTAACTTTAGAAAGAAAAGGTCGAATTTTAAATAATTTATCATGTCGTGGTTCTCCTTGTTTTATTTGATTATTCATAGTGCCACAAATTGCAGGAGTAGCCATGGAAGATTTTCAATAGCTTCTTGTAGAAGGCAACTGTATAATAGGCATATAAATAGAAATACCTAAAAATCCACGAATTTCTTCTGCAGTTATATTTGCTGGTTTCTCCGGTCTACACTGACCTGGGTATAAATTTGTTCCTTCTGTAATATAATTTACCATCTCCGTTGTGAGCAAATATTTGAAAAAGTCATAAGGCTCTTCCATTTCTATTTCTTCCGGTAAATCTTGATTACTGTTGAAAAGTGTAGATTCTGGTATTATTTTTACCAACCAGTATATTTATTAGGGGCAAATAGTCTTCACTATCCCATTGTTCTCCTTCAAAATCCAGAGGTTCTTCAAGGCTTGTGAGCACATAACCCTTACAGTAGACATTTTTAGGAGAATCATCATAAGATAGATTTTCGTCTTTAGTTTCATCTCCATTCAAAAATTATACCGAAAAGATGGAGTATGAAGCTACTAATTCGTTCAATAGATACTTACCTTTCATCTAATATTTATTAAAGCGCGATGAATTACTTTCTTTCGCTATTTACAATGAACTAAACATTCAATTTTTATAAAAACTCGCTTTCAATTTGTTGCAACACCAAAACTACAACTCCTCCTAGATAAATGAGGGATTGACGCATAAAACTTGGAAGCGAGTGTCCCAAATATCACGAATTGTATCAACATCTAAACACACAACTGATTTATTTACACATAAATAAAAATCACACACAAACATAAAGCGTCCCATATATTATATGGTACATTTTATTTTTGTAGAGCTTCCGGACACGTCGATCGCTTTGCGGATCTTATGACAAAAGATGTCGGTACAGGAGAATGTTTTAGATTAGATCATTTTATAAAAGCCCACTTAGAAAAGATCTCGTCCGAAAAAAATGCAACGGAAGATCTTAAAGCCGAGTGCAAAGACATCGTTGTTAAGGTACTTAATTAATTTGAGTGATAATTTTTATTCGATTTTTTTTAATTTAGTTGGATGGAATGACCAAAGACGAAATGGCGGGGTTGATGAAAAAATTTAACATGAAAAGCCCTTTAACAGGAAATGAACTCTCAGAACCGATCGAATTTAATTTAATGTTTGGGACTCAAATCGGACCTTCAGGTCTTATTAAAGGTTTTTTACGACCCGAAACAGCCCAAGGAATTTTCGTTAATTTCAAAAGATTATTAGAATTTAATCAAGGAAAGTTACCATTTGCTGCCGCCCAAATCGGTAACGCTTTCCGCAATGAAATTTCACCAAGATCTGGATTAATCCGGGTCCGAGAATTCACAATGGCCGAAATTGAACATTTTTGTGATCCGAACGATAAAAAACATCCCAAATTCGAAGACATCAAAGACACCGAATTATTATTATACTCGGCTTGTAATCAAATGGATGGAAAAGGGGCCGAAAAGAAAACCATCGGCGAAGCCGTCGAAACTAAATTAGTTGCAAATGAAACTTTGGGTTACTTCATGGCTAGAATTCAATTATTTTTAGTTAAAGTTGGTGTTGATGCAATAAAATTAAGATTTAGACAACACATGTCTAACGAGATGGCTCATTACGCTTGCGATTGTTGGGATGCTGAGTGTTTAACAAGTTATGGTTGGGTTGAATGTGTGGGTTGCGCTGATCGGTCAGCTTACGATTTAACCCAACACACCAAAGCAACAGGAATTCGATTAGCTGCTGAGAAAAAATTAAAAGAACCACGTGTCGTGAATGTAATAGAAGCCGTTCCGAATAAACCCGTAATTGGAAAGGCCTTTAAAAAAGAGGCTAAATTAGTTTGTGAGGGTTTACAAGCTCTAGATAAAGATAAAGTCGAAGAACTTGAGGAAAAAATTCAAGACGGGACTTACGAAATATTAGTAAATGAAAAAACTTACAGTTTAACTAAAGAAATGGTTGAAATTAAACGATATGAAAAAACCGAACATGTTGAAGAAGTTATTCCAAGTGTTATTGAGCCATCGTTTGGCGTCGGAAGAGTTATGTATGCGATTTTTGAGCATAATTTTAAAATGCGTGAAAATGATGAACAAAGAACTTATATTTCCTTACCGGCTGTTATTGCTCCAATTAAATGTAGTGTCTTACCATTAAGTTCCAACGTTGAATTTAAAACATTTATCAAAAAATTATGTATGAATTCTATTTTATTTAATTTAATAGACAACCTAAGCCTTGACGTCACAGAGATGGGCGGAGCAACCAAATTGTTTGGAGTCGGTATAAGCTCCGCCCAGCTCTGTGACGTCAGACTTAGGTAGTCTATTAATTTAAAAACATATTAAAATATTAATTTTTTAGCATCTATGTTAACAAAACTTGATGTTTCTCATAAAGTTGATGATAGCTCAGGTTCAATTGGGCGAAGATACGCTCGAACTGATGAAATCGCAATTCCTTATGGTATCACCATTGATTTTGATACATTAAAAGAACCACATAGCGCTACGTTAAGAGAAAGAGATTCTATGTCGCAAGTTAGAATTCCCGTAAGATTTTGTTTAAAATATTTTTGTTTAGATTATTTTTAATTTTGTTATTTTTAGTTGGATGATATAGCGCAAGTTGTTCATGATTTATCGTATAGTAAAAGAACATGGAATGAAATCGAAGAGGTTTATCCCAAATTTGAGCAACAGGAAAGCAAGGGCAATTAAATGTGAAATAAATACACCGTCTAGAATTATCTAGATCGCTTTTGCATTTTTTTATAGACATTTAAAGAGTTTTTTTTGTTAAAAAGAATTGCTTTAACAATAATTTTGTTAACACTAAAAACTCGTATTAATGTTATTTAAGTATGGCACTGATTAAAATAAAATGAATGCACATTTTAAAACGATTTTTCATTGAATTAAAAATCATTCATTCTATGCACTAATGTTGATAGGACTCCGACATTTTGTATTTAAAAGATTCCCCAAATCCAAATGGAGTCAAAACCAAGGTTGGTATGACACAAGGTTTATATATAACAGGTTGTCTAGATTCGTACGCAACCATACTGCGCATTTCGTCACATGTGGAAGATAATACCGCCAAGTAATTCAAATTAAACAAATGCACGGAGCACCACATGGCCATGAGGTTGCGTGCGCAATCCGTGATTGCTTACGTCACGAAACACTTCTGCTCTTGCCCCTCGCCCACAAACTAAAATCAAAGTATTGCAGCATAGGAACTTAGACAACCTTTCTTCTTCTTCACAATGATAAGGCTTGCCAATGGGATTTGGATACTTGTCCTTATTACCTAGACAACCTTTAATATATAACCTATATAAAACCTTGGGTATGACACACTGTAAGTTTCGGTTTTAGTTTCCTCCCCGTTCATAGATTGCGGAAGCTGACATACAGAATGTGTCAGAAAGAATGAGAAATCCGAATACCGGAGACACAAGACACCTAAATATGACGATTTAATAACGATTTTTTGGTAGTTTTATGTTTTCGAGCATGAGAAATACGAATTTGAAACTTGTTTTGTGATTGCTTGTAGAGGGCGTTAGATACACACTGCTCGTTTAATAAATCAAGTCATGACTATTTTGTCAGTTGAGGTATGGTGAATTAGAACCACAAATCTGAAAGAACTTTCAATTCTACACAAAAAAGGTAGTTTTGCTTAAATTGTCTAAGTCTACTGGTTTCCAAGGTATAATGCGCTTTACGAACCTTGAGCATTATAAAATAAACTTTTTCTGTGCATTCGTGAATCCGCTATAGGACATTTTTAAACAGTTCCCGTGCAGTTATTATAAACATTTCGAAAAAAATTTGTTAGAAAACTGGCTTTAGAATAATGTATCCTACAACCGTATATTGCTCTGATGCGGAAGATACGGGACACCTCTATAAAAAAAACTAGTTTCGTAAGACACGCTTGAAATACACGAATTCAAATTTAAAAACTAGTGGCGAAGCAACGAGTTTTTTTAATAGATGAGTGCTTTAAGTCTTATGAAACGTGTTTTCTATGCTATTTTTTGTAATTCGCGTTTTTGTACTGTTTTTTTTAACTAAAATCAAATAAATTTTGAGAATGTAGGGAAATAGGTATGTAGTGGTTGGTAACACCGTAACACTTGAAAATAGAAGTTTGAATTGACAATTAGAAACTGTCAAAACACAAAATGTATTCAGTATTAGTGATTGCAATACCGGTATTTCTTACTATTTTGTAATTTCGTAATACCGGAAATGCCGGTATTAGTTAAAAATATTTTTTTTATTAAAGGGTTTAACTTTTCTTTGTTTGCGTAATGTCAAAGTACGAAGCGCGTATGAAACCTAACCTCACATTTAATCTCGTCGTAGTGAAATGTGTTCGTAGATTTTTAAATATTTAAACATGTGGATACACTTTTAATTGCTGTTGGTATGTTCTTTTTTCACAAATAGGTAACTACCTGCACTATGTATTATACGCTTTATTGTTTAAAATATTTATATTTGTAATTTTGTTTATGATGAGATTTATTATTTATCCATAATGAATAATAATGATTTCAAAGAACATAAAAAAATCTGCTGATAATACTTCGGTTTGGTTGATGATTGGATGATGAAAAAAGTATGCAGGCGAGGTGCAAAACATGTTCATTGATTAGTAAAGTTTTTGGGGGAAGTACAAACGGACTACATACACATTTAAAAACACAACATGACGTTAATTTATTGAAAAGAATTTGAGACAAATTGTATAAGTACAAATTCTTTATATTTGTACTGTACAAATTGTACATATCAAAATTGTTTATATTCTTATATAGTTTATGCACTTTTTTTTGTATAAAACTAACAAATATGGCAAAGAAACAACTGTTTTTGTTCCTTTTTGGAAAATTGTTAATACAAAAAATACCGGTATTGTATTTTTGGTCCGGTATTGCAATCACTACACCTGATATGTACACCTCCCAAAATAAGAGAAATTGCTCAGAATTCTATTAAAACACTACTTCCAGAGAAGTACCACGAAAAGTATGAACAACAGTACGCTAAATTTAAGGCGTAGTGCGAAGAGAAGAAGATTAAAGAAATTTCAGAAAATGACCCAATGTCACCAACTTAAACTGGTTCCATAAAATGTTACTAAAATCTCATTCACACATAAGGAGTCTCATTACAGCACCCGTTTGAGTACTGTAATAGCTTTCATTACCGTCGCAAATTACAAAAAAACTTCTTAAAGGTTTTTTTTTCATAACAATAAGATCGTCCATTTCAAACGCTCCACCAACTGTCGACTTACTTAAAATATCAATGAGCAAATATTTAGTCCATTATGTTAAGGTTTTATCATAAACATATAGTTTAATTAATAAAGTTGTAATAAATCGTACTACTACTTTTTTTAAATAAATAACAGAAACTAAATCAGTGCTTAAAGTTTTCGCTCTTTGTTTTTATTAAAGATATTCCAACACAGTGATGATTTAAAAACACCTCATCCTTCATTGTTTTACACAAAAAAAAACTGATTATCTCTCAGCGCACAATGACATAAAACGAATCTTTGGGGTTTGATGCGTCATGCTAAACAAACAAAACAAACTAATTGGAAATCCAAACTTAAAAATGAAAAATCTTAAAGAAGAGAATCTTGTACATATTTTTATAAATTAATTAAGAAAACCCGTTATTAATTATTAACATTGGAATGAGTGAAAAATTCGAGAATTCCAAAACGACTCTTTGTATGGTTTAATTTAATTGAAATTAAAAAAAGAAAAACAGTAATAATAATAATAATTAGAGCGCAATAAACATAGATCTATACAAAAAAATTCTTTGTTTTGTTTCAATTGATGATGGGGGTCAATATTATTAGATGAATACAAATGTTATATAATAACATTAAAAAATTCTCTTCCGCGCTACATAAACCTTATTATTCAAGACTAGGAATGGACTCGTCGTCCGAATCGAGATCGTCCATGTCTTCGGGATTAGCTTGGGCGTCTGAATTTATACCGCCTATTTGTCGCATCATATCTTCAAAGTAATCTCCACCACCTCCACCCATTCCACCACCGCCGCCGCCCAGCTCGTCACCGGATTCATCTTCATCCTGCCACTTATTAAAATCACATTTTAACCAGTGGTGTTTCTTTTTGTCCGATGTCAAAGTGGGCCAATAACTATCGTTATCATTTGCTTTCGTTAATATAAACTCGATACATCTCTCCCTATTGAAACTTCTTGATCTTTTTGGGTCTATTTCTTTGTATAATAGAATTTTTACTTCGTAGGCACGTTTTTCTACACCTCCTACACCTTTAAAATATACTGAATCTTTTTCAATTCTAAAAAATAAAAAAATCATCATTAAGAAAATTTATTTTTTTTTAACATTTCGGTTGGTAATAAAATATGACAAGTGACATTTAAATAGGTTGTTGCCAACAGCAACCAAATTTTAATTAATTTAATTTTTTTAATTTCTTAAAATAATTTTATTATTATAATCATTACTTTTTATGTTTTTGACTAATTATTCATTAAGTAAAATAATAATTGTATAAAGCAGTAAAGAAATGTGTTAAAGTTATAATGACATTTTTGACACAAATTTTAAACATTAACAAATTATTTGCATTAACTTACTTAATATCAGGATCTTTAACATCTTCTAAGTTAATTGTTAAAAAGACGACTTCTTTTCTTTGGGCCCACATAACTGGCGGTGGGATAACTCTGTAAATAAAAAAAATTACTTTTAACGAAAATTGATTTATACTTGTAACAATTAATTTAAAATCGTTAATAAACGATTAAAATAACAATTTGAAACGTTTTAGAACATTCCAGAATCGATATAAACGCGAGTTGATTCAACATGGCCGGCAGCGGCATGGTTTTCGATTACTTTTATTTATTGATACGCTCAATTTAGCCACGATTATAAATACGAAATGGAAGTAAATAAACGTGCTTTACTTACGCTGTGTCTGTCATTTTCTTAACGTCTTTAAACCGTTTCCTAAAAGCACAAGTTTACACTGGAAGCAAAAGTTGCACCGGTGCATATAATTGAGGCGAAGTTGGCTACGGTCAACTGTCGTATTTCAATAAACGGATGTTAGCCGCAGGAACTGGTTAAGAAACAAATCCAATTATCGTGATTATTCAATTAATCTTTATTAATTAATTTAATGTATTTCGGTGATTAATTTTTTACGCAAACACTGATTGAAGTTTTGTTTGGAAATTTGAAGTTAAATTATTTGTATCTTGGTAACGAGATGTATTTATAGCAGCGAAGTTAGTTATAAATAAGGTTTGTAATTTAATTAATGTTATATGACTCATTAATTCGTATTCATCGATTAATCAATTATAGGCTGAGGTAATCTTTATTTATAAATTGTGTATTAAAATCATAAATTAAAAAATAAGCGCCCTCTAACGGCTTAATCAATTAATTCAATTTTAAATTTAAATAAACGTCAAAATCATATTTATGTCATTTTATTGTTTATAAGCTTAATAACAAATATATTTTAATTCAATATTTTTTGTATGTTCTTCTATATTATGGTGATATAATTTAGGATTTTCCTTAGCAATATCAGCATAAGATACCGAGTACAAGTCCTTAAATCCGACTTTATTTCCAACTGCTTGTGAATACTTAGAAGTGAAAATGCTTAGGGATGCTTTGATGTCGAGAGCTTTACAAAGCGGCTCCCTTGCTTTTAAAACTTCAGCGGCGATACCATCTCCTCTAAAACCCGGTAAAACGTAGACCCCCATCGCCGATAAATACTTATCTATTCCGAATCTTTCAAAAGCATCGTTCTTTGCTTCCAAGAAATCGAGCGTGCCGAAAATTTTTGCAACGATTTTTGAGTTGATTTCGTGTTCTAATTGGTCACCTTTGCAAGTAACCGAAGTACAATTCATTGCGGCTATTTGGGGATCTCCATCTTCGTCCTTTGTAAGACAAATTAATCCCACGTTTTGTTCAAGGACTTTTTCCCAGGATTTTCTTAAATCTTTTGTTGCATCTTGGTAACTAATTGCCTCTAAAAAAAGTTTTGGTTGATATTTCGTTTGGATAATTGTGAAGATCTTACTGTTATATTTGCACATTGGTTCTTCACTTCCAAAACCATACACCATGTGATTTAACACTTCCTCTTTGTGATTTTCTGTGATATCTTGTACCCAATACTCACGCTTTTTACCTGTACGATCTGTAAGTTTTTTTCCTTGAAATCTACTCCATACAGTTGGAATTACGACGGAATTTAATCTTTTCCAGCTCATTTTGCAACAACTTGTTACACTCAGTTAAAATTTTATGGAATTTATAGGCAAAAATTACATCACTTTGTGTGATGGTTTAAATTGATCTTGTTCAATGAGTGTTTGTTCCAAATTTTCTTATCAAATCGTATTTGGATAGATAACTGATTGATTGTGTACTTATATGTGTTAATATATAGTGAGGACTGAGGTTGGAGAGGGAATATATTTGCTGAGGAACATAAAGTTTACATGGTCATAAAAGTATTCGATTTTTATAGGTATTTCTAATTTAAACGTTTAGCTAATAATAATCTTTTGTAATACTTTTATGTTGTTAATCTTATAACGATGAAGTGAGTGAATGAAACCAAAACCTTATATATTTCAAAATTCACTTTATTCGTACTTTATATACATAAATTTAATATTGGTTGTGTGATCTTGAATGCCAGGAAATTTAAAAAGTGGATTTCTCTTCTCTAGTTCAGAGTATGAAATATCATAGAGGTCCTTGAATCCAGCCTTTGTTGCGATGACTTGTGAAAATAATGATGTGAATACCGTACAAGAAACCTTTATCCCACAAGCTTTACATAGTGGTTCCCTAAAAAAATCTAGCTTTAACTGAATTCAAAATAATTATCTTATTTCATGGTTGACACAAAATTATAGCTTATCAAGAACGATTATTTTTGTTGGATTATATAACTAGCGTGTAACATGAACAAAATTAATAACCACCTAGCGTTTGTTGTCAAGTTTTTACCTCGCTTTTAATAACTCCAATCCGATTCCTTCTCCACGGAATTCCGGCAATACAAATAAACCAAGCGCTGATAAATATTTATCGATTTTTAACGTTTCAAATGCGTCCACTTGTTTTGTAACGTAGGTTATCGTTGAAATAATTTTATTTAAACATTTATTTTCAAACTGAAACAAAGTTAAACAAGTTACAAGTTTATTTAATAAGCAAAAAATTACTTAATACAAATAAAATAATTATTTTTTCTTAATAATAACAAATCAGCTAAATATGATGTATTTAGTAGACACCTTACAACATAACCTCTAAAAATTCTTTCCCTTTTTATTTTATTAATCTTATTTCTAACATGAATGCTATTATTTATTTTCTTTAATTACTTATTTTTTCCCAGTCTAAAATTTATTTTTTTTACTATTATAATAAAATTGTTGTATCTCTATAACAATTCTACCAAATGATAAGTTAGGTTATGTGCATTGTAATTGAACTGTCAGTTTAAAAACGAATGTTCTAATTTGTAATTTGTACCTTCTAAAAGTGTATGGATGGTGTAATTAACGTAATAATATTATTAACGTGATTAATATAATTAATAAAATAGGTAAAGTGTGAACTTTAAATATACAAATTTCTTAAAAGTTTGAGTTACTGGAAGAATTTGATAGAAAATCATTGGTTATCAATAAATTAATCTTTTCCAACCTTTTTTTATCAATTCCAAAGCTTTTTGCAAAATTTATTTTACACATTTCGTATCTATTGACTATTATCTCTAACCAATTTGTCTGATTTCAAAGTCAGTGTTACCACAAATTACCAACTTGACAATTCATTTTAAAATGAACGAATTATAAATAAAATTTCTTTTTTTTGGTTTCAGATTTCTCTATAATTGTGATCAAGATGAATCATCAAGGTGTTGAGTATCTTATTGGACGCGTAGTTATACAAGTTAGTAGAAAGATTTAGATTTAGAAACCCGAATGTTTCTAGTTCTAGGTCTAGTGTTAATTCTAGTTCTAATTGTGATTCAGTGCTAGGTTGTTATATATTTTTATTGAACTAACACTAGATCTAAAACTACAAACATTTGGATTTAACCCCATGTCTCTTAAGACGACTTGCCAATTAATTTAAAAATGAACGAATTATAAATAAAGTTTCTTTTTTTGGTTTCAGATTTCTCTAAATTGTAATCAAGATGAATTATCAAACTGTTGAGTATCTTATTGGACATGAAGTTATACAGGTTAGTAGAAAGATAGACAGACGGGATTCTGTAGGCTTTAGCAGAACTTTTAACAGAGTATTATCCTAATTAAGACAAAAATTCATAAATTACCATCATGATTTAGGAATAGCACCAGAAAGTAAATTTTACAGCATTTTACCTTTTCATATTCCTCATCAATTGTTGAAACAACGGTACAATTCATTCCAGCAATTTTCCAGTCACCATCCTCATCTTTTGTAAAACAAATTAACCCCATATTTTGGTCGACACATTTCCTCCAAAAATTATAAGCTAATTTTAAGTATTCCGCATACGTTGTCGCGTCTAAAAAGAACTTTATTACACAAAAAAACAATTTTTTTGAGTAAAATTCAAGAAACTATAAAAAAATTAAACTTACTCGAAAATTTAAACATTGGTTCTTCTTTCGAAAATGCATAAGCCATATAATTCGCAACTACGTCTTTATAATCATCCGGTATGTCTTGTATCCAGTACTTAGTGTTAGTTTTACTGATAAACTCGCGCCAAACACTCGGAAACGGAACACCGGGATCTCGTTGCCACGACATTTCGTAATTTTTTGTTTTATTTCGTTGGATCTTTGCCAGACGAATATCTTTTGCGTAATGCGTGTTCTAAACGGATCTAATCTCAGCTTTATCTATTTGCACACGCTAATTTACAAGTTTTGTTTTTTCTTTTGAGGTCATTACCACTTTTTGTGATTATTTATTTTTACAGTTTCTTGAACTTATTTCTTTTTATTATAAGAAAAATCGTACTTACGTGAAAATTTACAAAGTGGTTCATCTTTAGAAAATCCATAAGCCATATAACTTGCAATAATATCTTTATATTCTTCGGTTATATCTTGTATCCAATATTTTCGATTAGTTTTACTCACAAATTCTCTCCAAACACTTGGTAATGGAACGTTTTTGTTTCTTTCCCAAGCCATTGCGTAAGAGGAATATTAAAATAACGACTGCTTTTATAAATTGTCAGCTAAGTAATGGAAGTTGCGATAATTTAAGTTTTATTTAATGGTTGACGTTTATTTGATAAGATTGCATCCATTGAAGTATTAGGATTTTTTTTGTGTGTTATATCAGTAGTGGACTTTGTTTAATCATTTCTTATCAATAATGTTTTTTTTAAATCTCTAATATTTAAATTTTCGAAGATTACGTAGTTGATTCAACATAACTTATCTATTTTTTCTAAAAAAAATCTTAAAAGGTCATTACTATATATTATTCTTCTTGGTCTTTATTGAGCTGTAGAGAACTGAAGAAAGAGCACATCGTTGTTGAAAATCTATTTGACAGTACACCTAACCGAGCTCAACAATCTTTCCTAAAACTACCCTTACCTAACATTCCTTCATGGTATAATTGGTATTAATAATTACTGAAGAAAATGTTAACCCCTCCTTGAAGCTCACGCAGACTACATCACACATACTTTCTTAAATAGGTCACACTTTGGCATTGGGACGATACCCCAGAGCAACTTTAGCACAAGTGTCAGATGGATCAAAGAAGGCTGCAGGCTCTGGAGCGGGAGCCTTCTCGCATGATCTCCAGCTGCACCTTTCCATTTCGTTAGGACTGAATTAACTGGTATAAATATAACAGCTAACGTCATCATCGACTCCCAAAAAGTTTGCAGAAACGTTGAAATCAGCACTGGTAGCAGACAGGCTATGTTAACGCTTAGAAGGCATCGAACTACATCATCGTTAGTGAAGTCCTGTTGGCAATCACTTGAGGAGGCTAATATTTATAACAACGTCATGATAAAGTGGCGGAAAGGACATACCGGAAATAAGGGACGCGATAACGCACTAACTTTTAATACAGTATCAAAGGTGATCAACTCCATCTCTCATCGAGCTTTTTGTGATAGACGGGATGACACAGTAGGTGTCTTTACAAGAACATACCCTTCTGTTCTATATTAACGTTCATTAATACCTTGGGCTGCTTTTCTGACCCTTGAATGAACTATAAATTGTGGGGATGTACAAAGAGCCCGATGGGGCCTAAGTGCTATGAAGGAATTAACCACTACATGAAACTACAATCATACATAATGTTTGTAAACAAAACTAACCTTACTTAACATTCCTTCACGCTATAATTGTCGTTACTAAAGAAAACTTCACGCTATAATTGCCGTTACTAATTACTAAAGGAAACTTCACGCTATAATTAATGTTTGTAGACAAAACTAACCTTACATAACATTCCTTTACGGTTTAATTGGCATTACAAAAGAAAACTTCACGCTATAATTGCCATTACTAATTACTAAAGAAAACTTCACGCTATAATTAATGTTTGTAAACAAAACTAACCTGACTTAACATTCCTCACATATTACTAAAGAAATCTTTGCGATATAATTAACATCAGCGTCTGAAGACTCACGGCTAAACCCGAAACTTAAAAATATACAACAATTTAACACTGAATAACAATTAAAATTAGAAGTAACACTAACACTAGAACTAATACTAAACCAAGTACCAACTTCAAAACATGACATAACAAAATTTCCTGTTAATGTTGCCAATTTAATAATATGATTCTAATTGTCACTTTGACAGAAAAATGTCACAGTAATAAATAAAAATTGCTTATGTTTTAAGAAAATTTAAAGTTTTCTAAAATGGAAAATCAAATAAAAATTGAGAGTGAAGATGAAAACGAAGAAGATGTCCTAAAAAAATGTACTCCAGTGACGTATCTTATTGAAGATGCTGAAACGTGTATCCCTTTATTGTTATCAAAAGAATCTGATATAGTTTGCAAGACCCTATGTAATTTATGCAAAAACATAGAAGCGGACGAACAAATTCTGAATTTTTTATTACCAAGAGGATTATTCGAAAGGGTTGCGGATTTATTAAAACAAGAACTTGAGTTGGATAACTTAAAATATGTCCTAAAATTATTTGGATTAATAGTAACCAATATTACTCAAATACCAAAGTTGAATAATAACCTTTTATACGATTCCCTTCCAAGGTTACTTCGTTTATTCTTTTTAAACAGCGATGATTTCGTCAAAGAAGCCTCTTCTCTCATATTAATAAAAGTAATAACATTTAATCCTTTATTAAGTATTTATGTATGCTACGACAAACACTTAAGCAACATCATCAAGGTTTTACAATCATCGATCGATCCAGATGTGTTAAAAAATTCGTTGGAGTTGATGTTGTTATTAATGGGCAGCGAAGACTTTCGAGACCAATTAAATTATTTTAAAAGAAAACACATGAACATTTTTATATGTTTATTGGATTGTGACGTTGAAGCAATCGCCGATTTAGCGATGGAAGTGCTATATCGAATAAGCGGAATGAAACTTGATAAAGTCTCGATAAAAATGGCCAAAGGAAACACTTTACCGAAAATGGTCTTTATTATTAAAAATAAAGTTAAGAGATATACCGATAAAGCTATAGAAATAATCGAAAATTGCGTTCGAAATAAAGAGGCTGCGATTTATTTCGGGTTTAAAATTGATTTTATTATTTTATTAGGGTTCTTAGTTGAATGTGATAATAACACTTTAATTAAAATATTACCCATATTTAGCACGATGACTAAAATCCCGGTGATTCGAAAAAAGATTTATTACGAATCCGGGGAAGATATTTTATTTCAAAGCTTGAAATATCGAAACGAAGACGTCGTTTTAAACATGTGCAAAATAATTACTAACTTTACGATGCATAAAGATTGTTTGGAGAAGATGTTAACACCTCAATTAATTAAGTATTTGCTTGAAATTTTCGGGCAATTCCCCATGGATCCACATAAAATTAACGCGATGTTAGCGATTTATTCCTTTGTAAAATACGAACCCGCAACGATTAATTATTTAAAATACACCGGGGGTTTAGATGATATCCAAAGAATTTTTTTGGAGGAACAAGATGGATTTCCCACCAACATTTACGAAATGATCACTGAAATAATTTGTTGCGTCGTTTGTTCCCCTCTAAAATGCAAACTCAACATCCCAAAATTATGCGAAAAACTTTTGGATTTATTAAGATCCAACTATCCAAACGTCAAAATCATATTGAAAATGATCGCGATGTTAGTCCAAGAATCATCGTTTAGGCAACAATTCATTCTTTCAAACGGACCGGAGTATTTTATTTCTGTGATACAAACTGATTCATTCAGCCAAACTTATCAATTAAATCTTAATATAATTAAAAATGTTTTAACGTACGAAGAAATTTCGAATCAATTTCTTAATTTGGGATTAATGACCATATTAAAATCGATGATGAGTAAAGGAAAATTAGACCCAAATATGTTCGAGGAGATCTTATCTGGCTTATACAATTCTTGTTTACCCATCAAATTTTTCGATAACAAATTTTTAACCGAGCAAGATATAATTACTAGTTTATTCTTTTTATTTCAAGAATATAAACTCCAAGATGATTCAACCGAATTTAAACCGATTTACATCGTTAATCTTCCATTATACGACGATACCGATTCTTCAACATCAGAAAATATAATAACAGAAAACCCTGAATCTGCATCAAAACAATCTACATCGACAAAATCGACAACACCAGAAAGTATTCTTCTAAAAACCCTAAATAATCACTCGCCCGGAATGAGAGCCATACTTTCATATTCCTACGGAGATTATTCAATCGAAGAAAATTTCTTACCCGAAGATGACTACTTAGACGAATACATCGAAGATCTTCAAAACGAATTATCACTATCACAACTCGACGTAGTCGAAATAACCAAAAAAATCGCTTTATTCGTTCAAAGACAATTATCGGGGATTCTTCTTACCGATTCTGAAGAAGAAAAGCTTTCGATTTTTAAAAGACACATCGATGAGATTTGTGCGAAATTGGGCCATAGATTTATACCGATTGGATATTTACGAATGGGGTATCTTTGCGAAAAGGCGTTTTTATTTAAGGTTTTGTGCGATAGTATTGGTGTGGCGTCCAGTTTTCATCAGGAAAAAGAGGGATTATTTTGGAATAGCGTTTCGAAGGGAATGGGTGAGGATGATGTTTACATTGTGGATTTTAAAAATGATATTGGCGAACTTATTCAAATTGATAGTGATGAGGCACGCGTTTATTTGGAGAAAGAAGAATAAATTAACGGTTGTAAATAAAATAAAATTACTACATGAATGTGTTATTTAATTTTGTTTTAAATCTATATAACTTTGCCTATTTGCATTATAGGCTCAGATATTTATCTTCTATCAAAATCTATCTTTCTAGGACATCCCTCTTCACATCCAAACCAAATATTCAACTTTTGATAGAGAACTATTAGCGATCTACTCTGCAATCAAATTTTTCAAACATTCCTTATATGGAAATCAATTTATTACGGTATATACAGATCTCAAACCCATTGTCACATCACTTTTTGACCCGATATCTAAGTTACACTGTTGGAAATAATTCACGAGCACACCCTGTATAATCTGAACGCGTGTGCCTAGCGCAATAAAATTTGGTATAGAAGTAGTACTAAAGTAGTGTAACTTACTCTCACATGGAGAACGGCACAACTCTGCTGGGAGGAGAAACATCAATAGCGAGAGTATCCCCCATGAGCTTCGCGTACCATCGCTACACGACGTGGCATGGAGTCTATAAGTCGCTATATTGTAGCGAGAGGGATGGCCAACCATGCCACCTCAACTCGCCTCCATAGCTCCTCAACATTAGCCGAGGAAGCCGGATAACGTAGAAGTCTCCGACCAGTCATGTCCCAAACATGTTCGATCGGATTCAGATGCGGAATCCGAGCTAGCCATGGAAGCATTCGTATACGGTGCTCTTCCACAAAGGTCTGTACAACACGCCCGATGTGCTGTCGTACTTTGTCGTGCATGTATAGCTGACCTGGGAGCCGCCGAACGTAGGGAAGCACAACGGATCGTAGCACCTCATCTACGTATCGTTGACCCGTCATGGTCTGCTATACACGCAGCAGACGTGTACGTCCATCATATGTAATCGCACCCCATACCATAATGCTCGGTTGTCGGTGGATAGGGCGTTCTTGCAGACACTGCTCGAGTAGACGATCATCACGGCTCCGACGAACTAAAATTCGCGCATCACCGGTGCTCAATTCGAATCTTGATTCTTCGGAAAACAAAATGTCCCTCTACTCGACAACCTACCAATGCCTAGCGTCGACCCACTCGTGACGTATGCTGCGGTGCTCGGATGTTACTGGAATCCGCTGTATCGCACGACGCGCGCGCCAGTCCGCTATCTACCAAACGCCGCCGTACAGTTTGCGTAGTGACTGCGCCTTCCCCTGCCAGTAGCCAAACAGCTCCAAGTTGCCTTGAGTAGGACACACACGACGCTAAAGCGCTGAGCACAAGAACGTGGTCCTCGAGTGTTGGGGACGCGCAGGGCCGTCCCGGCCGCGGCTGTAGGTACCTATGTCCTACCTCAGACCATTCTCGCCATGCCCGTTGCACTGCCGATAACGACCGCTCGAGACGACGCGCAATTTCACAGAACGATACACCCTCAATGTGCATACCCACAAACATTCCTCACTCAAACTCGCTTAAGTAACGCGATCGTCCATCCATTGCGCACAGAGTACGATAACAATGTGGTCCCTCACACCACATTAAAAACGACCGGTATTCTCCATCCACTTCGGTCTCCATAGCGACGGAATGTTCCACTTGGAAGGGCGGCTCAGCCAACAATGCTGCGACGGAACAACTCGAAACTCCCTGAATAAACTCGTCTACAGTAAATCTTTGTGCTCCGCAAATATTATGGATTTATCTTCACGCGTTCAGATTATATAGGGTGTGCTCGTGAATTATTTCCAACAGTGTATATTACACAATTTACTTCAAATATCAAATACATCACAGGAAGTTCAAATGTTGTTGCAGATCCTCTATCCAGAACAAACATCGCATCTCTAAACTCATCTTATCCAGATTTTCTAACCCTTAGCAACGCTCAACTTGCAGACACAGAATTATCAAACTTACTGAATAAGCAATTTTCCAACAATCCTTCAAAGTCGTATACTTTGGTGCATCAAACAACATCACAATCTGATATCAAACTGTGGTGTGAAACCTCTTCATCATCTCCAAGAATTTATAATCCACAACAGTTCAGACAAGCAATTTTTGACAAGATTAGTAGCTTATCTTATCCCGGAATAAGTTCTATCATTCATGCAATGAAAACAAGATTCTTTTGGCCACACATGTCAAAGCAAATTCATGTTTGGACCAAAACCTGCTTAAAATGTCAACAAGTAAAAATCCAAAAACATACAAAATTTCCAATCATCAACAACAAATTCCTAAAATTAAATTTATCATATACATATCGACTTGATTGTACTATCACTCACTCCGTCCCTAGGTTGTACTTATGTACTTACAGTTATCGAACGCTTCACTCGATGACCAGAAAGATATCACATCTACTATAGTGAACACTCTTCCGGCATTATTTTAGTCGATTTGGTACTACCACAATAACACATGATCAAGCACATGACAAATACACACATCATCTTTCCATCCGCAAGCAAATGGAATGTTAGAACGATTTCATCGATCATTGAAGACGGCTAGATGGAACAACAATCTACCCCTCATCCTACTAGGATTAAGAACATCACTTAATTCAGATCTAGGTTGCTCCTCAGCAGAACTGCTTTACGGGCCACTAAGACTTCGTGAGAGTTCTTCATACCTAGAAGAGAGTTCTAGAATTCTTGAAAAATAAATAATCCAAGAACAACATATAAAATGTGGTTGAATCAAATTCATTTTTAAAATTCAATAAATATAGTACGATGATCTCGTACATCATCGTACTATAGACGGCTAAACCCGAATGTTTCTAGTTCTAGGTGTAATGATAGTTTTAGTGCTGGAACTAACACTAGAACTAATACTAAAGAACACTTAAGAAGAATCAAAATTAACGCTGTCGAAGTTGTTGATGCCTCATAAAGCAACACTCGAAAATTGTGGGATTAGAAATAGAATCCACTTATATATAAAAATTAATCCACTTTCCTTTTTAATTTACTTTATTAAATATTTATAAACAAAGTATACATAACAGAGTAAATAAAGGACATCTATTTACGTATAATATATCTATATCATTTTTCAGTACTGTTAAATATATTGCAGTCTCTTTCTGTAAACATCTATTTTTCTTCTTCGTTTTAAATAATTTAACACATCTTACATAGTGCGCACAAGAGTTATATTTAAATTTGTTCTTATTCTACAATTTAAATATAAATGCGTCTTTTCCCCTTTTTCTGACGTAATCATTCTCACAATTGCACACACGACTTAGTTTATTTAATTAACAGTAGATTTCTTAAATATTGCCTAAGGTACAAAAATAATTAAGAAATTATAACCCGGAAATAGAACATACTGATCATGGAATACTGACATTTCGTTTACGCTTTAGGGCTTTTTAAACAGCACATCGACGATTTCGCCTTTGCAATCGATTTTTTTTACTTCTAATTAGCATTATTGTCGCTAATAGTATGTGTTTTACTTTTTATGCTGTAGACACATTTTGTACCCTGTTGCGGTGGATTAAGTCCTTTTTTTTAAACATTTAATTTTCTTTTCTACAAAATATCTAAGATGTAAGAAATTTATTATTAATAATTTAATTTCTATTTTTGTAGGTGACTAGAAAATAAATTTTAAACGATGGATACCGCCACTTTATGAGCTCCATTTAGGGCCGGTTGAAGTCTTATGGTGTGTCTAAGGGTCATCGAAGCAGCCGTAGACCTCCTAGAGGAGTGTGTCAGGGACGTGGTGACCGTCCCCGAAGATTCCGCGTTGTGTCCGTATCCGAGACAACGTCCTGTTCCTTGAATACCCGGGAAACATACCGATAGACAACCGGAAACCCAGGTGAAAGGTGGCAATTTTCTACGGTGGCAATAATGAGACGAAAGTGTACAACTACTACTAATGATGGGGTAAGCAAACTTTGTGTTTCAACAATTTAATCCCAAAAAATTTATTTTCAACACAAAATTTACTTTTATGAAATATATACATCGTGCGAAAAACTAATGATTAACCACCTCCTAAGATATATTAAGGAAGTTTCTTTAATTATCTGGTAAATGAGAAAAGCGTGTTTCTTACTAAATTCTAAACATAACAACCACAAAATGATTATCTCAAGAATCGTAACGTTACCGAAATAAGATGTTGTAATTTATGACTGGATTTAGACGTGGCTATTTATAATGGGTAAGTACCGTCGCCGTAACGACTTCAAATGCATTTCGCGCAGCCCCATTTCGAGACAATTTAGCCCCCCCTTCACATTTTGCCCGTTTGATGTCGGATCATTTGCTTTCCATTTATTAAGTAAACAAAATCGCGCTCGGGATGCTAATGTCTGTGTGCGAGAATGCTTTCTGCGGAAATGCGAAGCTATAGCGTGACCTTCGCATCGTTTTTACAGTAAAGTAAGAAAACACGGGTTTGTGCTTTTCTCAATTCGAAACGGTTCCATTAGAATTAATTAGTTTGGGAGTGACGTAAACCAACTGATCAACACATCAGTTACTTTTATAAATAACGGTCTTTGAACTATCTGTCTGATTATACATATAGTGTATCTCTGGATTATCTCATTATGATGTTCTCAAAGTTAACAAAATTAACGCGAGCAGTTTATGTATAAGTTTAGAGATATAATGCATATTATAACTTTTGAATATAAGATAAAAAAATGTGTAGATATGATATTAAACATAGCGCCTTAATTGGGTGACGTCGTGCCTCGGCTGTATAATATGTTTTGTGTTGTTATGATATTAAATGTAGCGCCTCGGCCGTAAGCGACCTTGACTTAATTGGATGATATCGTGCATTTCAGTTTATTAAGTACTTTAAGGGCATTTAACGTGAACTTGTTTAAACATTTCATTTTATAACTTTAAAATTTAATTCTTTATTAGAATTAAGATTGATCTCGAATAGATTTGAAATAGAATTTTCGAACGAATCTACAACAAAAGATTTTTCACATCACGTAAATTGAATGAACTTTATATGAGATCAATCAACAATGGAACAAACAAGGTTTCGAGTTACGACTCTTATTCTACATGAAATTGTACAATAGAAATGTGGCTATTGTGTCCAGAAATGAGGTCAATCAAATAAAGTACCAAATCCCTAGTTTAACTTACCTAAGATTTCGGCATAAATGCGTTGAGAATAAACAGTAAATTACGGGATTAGCTGCTGAATTGAGAGGAGACAAACTTTGGATTAGCGTCGCGACTGCGGCGTATGTCTGCGTTTTTGGTATGTATCCATAAACTTGTAGCAAATCGAACACAATATAAGGACTCCAACATAAAATAAAAACTATAAAAAAAAGTTCGCTTTGAACAATTTAGTAATTTAAATCCTTACCGAAAACTATAACAAAAGTCATTTTAACCGATTTAATTTTCGCCCTTGGTATAATCCCTCGAGAAGAAGCTCTTCGACAATCATTCTCTTCGTACGAATATCTCGGTGGTCTATCTCTAATATCGTCACCTACAAATAGAAAAGAACACGTGAAAACCATAAAGAAAGATTAATCTCTTCACCATTATGTGGTCACGAAATTTAGAGCTGGCACAGATTAAAGTGTTGGCGCGAAACGTACTACTTTACGAAATGCATCGCAAATTTCGTTTCGGGGCAGTAAATATCACCCAAACGGAAGTAAAGTAAGTTTATTCAACAGGGAAAACTGCGGAGCACTGTTTAGTTTAGTAGTTACTGCTTTGAGTTGGGTGGATTTTTAAATCTCGCAAATCTGCTTTTATATAACTCTTTAGTTTATCCCATTTGCATCATTCAGACGAAATAACAATGTAGCATATATCACCAAACTTTGTTTTAATATACAGCTTGTCCGGAAATGACGTGTATAACGGAAGACCACAAGTACCTTGACCAAAAGTATGATGATTTAACTCAACTTATCTATATATAAAATTGCTTAGTTTAGTCGCTAGAGAGCTTTAAAAAATTCATGATGAATCAAAGATAAAACACAATACAAAAATTACGAATACCGCTGTCAAGTTTATGTTTTTGTTTTCAAAATTAATTAAACCGAGCCAACTATTAAAAAAAAAAGTTATTAGCTACCTTACATCACTCACTCGCGCTTGTGGGGATTTAGAAAATACTTTTTTGTGGCTAAACCGTTTACCTAACTAAAATTTTGTGAGAGAGAAAATAGTTTCTAAATTAAAGTAGCTATTCAGAAAAGGATAAAAAAAATCAGAAAAAATGGTAGTGATTGTACAGGGGGTTAAAAAGATATGGATGCACAAATTATTGTCACAAAGTTTTTAAACACCCTATAATTTTTGAAATTAGAGTTAATTCCACAAATAGCTGTAGTCTACTAATACAAACGTATCGCTAAACATGAGTAAAATCTATCGAGGATTTTTCGATTTATTTAAAAAAATTTAAAAAAATATATTATTTTTAAAGCCCTCTAGAGGCTAATATTTTTTGTCAAGGTACTTGTGGTCTTGCGTTGTACACATCATTTCCGGACACCTGTATATAAGTGAATTAATTATAATTATAGTACATTCGTGGATGATCAGTGATGAACAAATAGATATCGTTGTTCTACTAGCAGACAAAGGGAATAACAAGGTGATCTAGAAATATCTAGTTATTCAGCATCAGGTAGTTGTATATTTTTATTGAACTAAAAATAGAACTAATACTAGACCTAGAACTAAAGTATTCGGGTTTAGCCATCTTGAGAGATGTATGGCTAAACCCGAATGTTTTTAGTTCTAGGTCTAAGGTTGGTTTTAGTGCAAGTGTTAGTTTTAGTTGTTATGTTTCTATTGAACTAAAACTAGAACTAACACTAGACCTAGAACTAGAAGCATTCGGGTTTAGCCGTCCTGAGAGACGTGTGGCTAAATCCGAAACTTTCTAGTTCTAGGTCTAGTGTTAGTTCTAGGTTTAGACTAGCACTATCAGTAGAACTAACACAAGACCTAGAACTAGAATCATTCGGGTTTAGCCGTCTTGAAAGACGTGCGGCTAAATCCGAATGTTTCTAGTTCTCGGTCTAGTGTTAATTCTAGTATTGCACTATCACTAGAACTAACACAAGACCTAGAACTAGAATCATTCGGGTTTAGCCGTCTTGAGAGACGTGCAGCTAAATCCAAATGTTTCTAGTTCTAATTCTAGATCTTGTATTAATTCTAGTTTTAATTGTTATTGTATATTCTTTATCTATTTTATTCCCTATTGGAAGCGTTTATCCAAGCATATCTGAACTTATGATGCAACTGAGTTAAGTAATAATTAAAAAAGTGTAAAAAGAATTTAAATACGTACTGTTTCTTCTCATTGGTAAATGAGCAGTAGTTATAAGTAATTTACTTTTGGACCATATCGTCCAAACAATTACAGCGTAACACCCTCCTATGATGAGAGCTGGAATGACAAAGAGAACGAGAGAAACTAGGGTCATGTAAACCTGCCATTGCCATTGTTTATCCATTTCAAGCCAACATTGAGATAATCCTGCAACAAATTTAAACTAATTAAGATTTAAATTTTAAATAATTATAATTCCCAATTAATTCGATTAATCCAATCAACCTTTTTGTCAAACCTTTTTGGTTTAATTTGAAAAGTGCTTTTCGCTGCAACGAGTTTGAATCAGTCGACTGATCCATAACATCCTTTTATCCTTTGTTTACGGCGTTTTGCAGTAATTCGACCTCCAATTTTTCGAGGGATTATTGAAGTGATTGATTGGCGGGAGTCTCTATCGTTTCCGGAAGAAGAGCAATTACGAAGGAAAAGCAAACAAAACAAAGTAAATGTTCTTTTCGTTGCGAGATCGTTTTTATGGAACGCATTAAATTCCGGTTGCAGACAATGACCGAAACATTAATGGAAAGGCAAAAAGAACGAGCAATTTATTAGGATTGTCGCGAGCTGTGACCTTGATCCTCAGGATTTATGGGACATTCTCCGAATGACGTCCGAGGCCCGGTTGTGTTTCGTCGAATTGGCGTTTTCGGTTCGCGCGTGACTCGCTTCTAATGGACGAGATTAAGCGCGTTTCCAGCTGAAAATTGCCTTTTCTCCCATTGTATTTGGTGTTCTCTCTAACATTGATATGATCTATTTGTTCAATCGTCTTTTTCATGTCATTTTTGAATTAATCCGCTTCAAAATTTAATAATTAAATATAAAACGTGTTTAAACCAAATTAGAGGTAAATATGTTGTAATTAATTACTGTTTGGTTAGTTGCTTAATTACTTATAAAATCAATATGGATCCTAAAGTTATATAACAAATATTTGCGTGAGGTTTCCAAACTTGGGAAACGATGTAGTAATAGTGTAACATTAATGAATTCCCAATACGATGAAGTTGTACTAATTTCTTTGTAATTGATTTAATTAATTAAAATAATATTTTTAATTTTTGGTGGAGGTGCCGGGTACATCCTGAAATTTCAAATTTATTCCTTTCATCACTCTTATTTGAAATCTTGTTAAAATTTTGAAGTTTGAGATGTTAATAAACTCCAAGTTACTTACTTAGGTTCATATGAAATGTAAATTGTTTATAAGTAAATTATAACTTTAAATTCTTCCTTATTAAATTAATTCACTCACCTTCAACCGTTTTTTCTTTAAACAGAAATATCGTGGGGGTAGAAAACACGAAGCTTAATATCCAGGCGATCACGACCAATACTCGTGCACGTTTCCCTGTAAAAGGAGAATGCAGTAGAATTCTTTGGAGTGTGTAGTCAAAGGGCTTACGGACGTCTGGGACTGATATTGGAGCGTAAATTCGAATTAGACGACGCAACGAACGTGTCAGGCATGAAACTGGATAAAGTTAAGGGAATTATTAGGGATCGTAGAAAGAAGTGCTCACGGATTAGGGACGGATATAGTGTAGCATTAGCTATTCAATGTCCAATTCGACCTGTTTTCGTCGATCTTCTGTCCGTGGAAAGGAATTGTTCTTTTAAATTCCAAGCAATTGAAAAATAAAGTTAAAGGGGATTTATTTCGTTTAGAGGACAGTTTTATTTCTTTTGGGAAACGATTTATTTGAAACAAAAATTTAGATCAATATTTAATATTCTCTCTCATTTTCATTATACTCTTGCGTAATTTTTATTCTATTCATTCTCATTCTGTTTTAATTTTAGCGGATTATGAACACATCTAGGAGAGTAGACTCACTCAGCCGAAGCAGTACACATAGTACTGCTTCGGCTGACTTTGTGTTTATATAATATTAAATGTAGCGCCTCGGCCGCAAGCGACCTCAGCTTAATTGGTCACTCACGTATGTTATAAGAAAAACAATATTCCCTTATCTCTTGGAATATTCTAGTACATGGAGGACTTATAACAACGTGACAAGTCATCGTTTGTGGTGGTTTTTATCATCATATATGATATCCCATGACTTGCAGATTAGTTAGCTTTTTGGACAAATTTAGACAAAAATGTGACAAACACTTCAATATGGAAAAATAATTAGTGATTACTGGATTAGGAAACACATCAATTTTGTAATAAAAAGATCAGGGTGCTTAAACTGTCAAACTAAAGGTCCGTTGAGTAACCATACTGTATAAGGTTATCCAACTCCATATGAACGTATCCCCCCGCAAAGGCATTGCTGTGACGTCATTGGAAGAATTGACATTTCTATGTTTTTATTTATACACTGTATTTCGCTTAAGAAGCAATACACAAAAATATTAAAAAAAAGATATAAAATAAAAAAAATATTAAAATATAAAGCGAAATATTAACGGTTAAAATTTTATTATTTTTAGGTTATCCAACTTGACTCGGTTACCATGGTGATTAAGATCCAAATATTGCAGATGCTTGTTAAAATTGAAATTGAATTTAAGTTTTTTTAAGGAAAAAGTCTTATTTAATTGGTTTAAAAGGCTGTATTTAACTCAAAATTGGTTTATCTAGGGAATTATAAACAAGGTAAGTGGATTAAATCAAAAAAAGATATTTTTAATTTATTTCTCTTAATTAGAATCGATTTAAATTAATTACAATTAACGAATTTGTTATGAATGCGAGATAATCGTAAAGAATTCGAATTGTTTTAAAATTAATAAAAATTAGGTTAGAATTGATAAAAAAATCGGAATAAAATTTTATTATTTTAAGGTTATCCAACTTGACTCGGTTACCATGGTGATTAAGATCCAAATATTGCAGTTGCTTGTCAAAATTGACGTTGAATTTAAGTTTTTTTTAATGAAAAACACAAAATTAATTGGATTTAAAGGTTGTATTTAATTCAAAATGGGTAAATGGATGAAATTATAAGCAAGGTAAGTGGATTAAATCAAAATAAAATATTTTTAGAACACTAGACCTAGAACTAGAAAGTTTTAGGTTTAGCCGGGCGTCTTAGACAAGAACTTAGAAAAGTCTGAAGACGCACGGCTAAACCCGAGTATTTTAGTTCTAACTCTAGTGTTAGTTGTTTACTAGCAATATCATTAGAACTAACACAAGACCTAAAACTAAAATCATTCGGGTTCAGCCGTCTTGAGAGACGTGGGACTAAATCCGAATGTTTCTAGGTCTCGGTCTAGAGTTAGTTCTAGTGGTAGTGGTAGGTAGCGCTAGTTAGCATAAGATGTATATTTTTATTGAACTAAAACTAGAACGAGAACTAACAGTCGGGTTTAGTCGTGAAAAAACTTTCAGTTGTCAATGTCAACTTTAATTTTCTTATTATATTCGTAATCTTCATAAAATAACCTTTAATGTGAGTCCAAACGTGACGGATTTATCTCATAAAACATATTTCACATATTTGTCAACTTCATAAAAAATCCTTTAAAATGAGTCCAAACTGGACATATTTAACTTTAATATTAATGAGTCCAAAGATGACTTATCGTATTTATCTCAAAAAACAAAAAAATTAGAATAAAAAACATTAAACCCTAAGTTAGCAATAATAAAGATAGCAATTTAATTTTTAAATAAAATACCAACCTTAATTTTTTATTTTTATTTTTGTTTTTGTGACAGATATTAAGACATTAGATAAAAATTAAGAATATGTCAAAATGACATTGACATTTCAAATCGGAAGATTTATGAAGATTACAAATATGTCAAGATTGAGGTTGACATTTTAAATCTGAACTTAGTTATCATATAATAGAGTCTATAAATAACAGTAAGTAAATAGACAAATGGACAACTTCATGGTGTTCTTTTATGATGTATGCTTTATAAAAAAAAACATTAAAATGAGTCCAAAAATATTGGAAACAACTTGCAACGCTTACTTTGATGTCATTTTAAAATCTTATACAGGCTGCCCATTATGTATGGAATATAGTATATATCTCGGTAAATAAATGTGGACTTTATAAAAAAACATTTTATACAAAAGTTGTTTAATATTTTGTTTGCCATAATAAGACTGCATTCAATTGTTTTTAATTCAGAAAACAAATGAGTAACGAATAACATTTGAATTTTTTAAATGGCAATGTACCCTTTCGTTATGCTTATTTGATAAAGATTACTTTTCTGTTTACGATGACGTAATATTTTTGTACCCTTACATAAGAAAATTTTTGAAAAAACATACAAAATAAAACAAATAAACGAAAAATTAGTGTAAATCTCCAATAATTCGAGGTACTTCGAGATACTTGACGATCTCAGATATCTAGATTAATGTTATAAGTTAAATTTTCTTAATAAACAATTTTAAAATTTTTTTGAAAAATTTTCTGATATAAGGGTACTAAAATTTTACGTCATCGTAAAGAGAAAAAAAACTCTATCAAATGAACCTAACGAATTAGTACATTGTTATTTAAAAAAGTTCAAGTGTTATTCGTTGCTCAGTTGTTTTCTGAAATAAAAACGATTGAATGCTGTCTTATTACAGCAAATAAAATATTAAACAACTTTTGTATAAAATGTTTTTTTATAAAGTTGATACCTACCAAGATATATACTATATTCCATACATAATGGGCACCCTGTATGTATTCTTGATTTGAAAGTAAATTTTATGGATATCTAGGAAACTACAATTTTTTTCACCTATTACTCATTATTTGTCATAAGGAACAATTCCCCAAGTTTATCCGTATATGTTGAGAATCACCCTGTATTATATTATACTTTTCCTCCAATGTCAACGTCAATTTGTTCGAGTTGAATAACCTTATAACCAATACTCAACGGACCTTGTGTTTATCTATTAAATAAAAATTATTATTTCCAAACTTATTTCATAAGTAGAGTTTTAAAATGAAGAATACTTTTAGATTATTTATGAATGATGGAAATTCTACATAACTTTGGTTTTTATGTTCAACTCTTCCCGATATTTATAACCCTAATTTTCGCACATCCCATTATGTTCATTGGTGCTAGAAAAAATTCTTTTTTACCATTCTCTACATCTGTCAGCGGCAGCCGAAAAAAAGAATGGCGAGAAAAATGAACTGACCATGAAAAATGTTCGGTTAATACCTTCACATCCCTTGGGGGCTTCATTATATATGCGACTATCTATCAGGCATATCCCGGGGCAGCGCTGTATTGATCATCCCTTTTTTATGTACCTATTAAGTACATGTGGTGGGAAAATAGTCCAATTAATTTTGATTAATATTTTCTTTTTACATTTAAATATTTTTTAAAACTTTTGTTAGCACAAAAACTTTTGAATATCTAATGTTCCATGCGTTGCCAAGAAAAGTTTGAGAAGTCCCGGGGAAAGTTTTGATGTAAAATTTCGCACTCCATATAGGAAAGATGTGATATGTTGCAAACGCGACATTAATAAAAGCAGAAAGTTTTGCCCTTTTAGGCCGACATCATCGGACGTATTCCGAAAGTTGGAGCGAGAGGAAAACTTTTCGCAGCTTTTACACGGTTCGTTGTATCGGTGTGTAGGCTTGAGTACTCCCGTTTATGAGAAAATATGGTTCGTGGTCACGAAACTGGAATGAATATAGTACAGGAAAATATTTAATGAAACATGTACTATATCCTCGTTTTTGGTCACCCACTGACACGTCTGTAATGTTTCCAACAATTATTCGTATTTACCCAAAATTTATTCCCCAGTAATCATTTACACAAAGTTTGATTTAATAAAACATTAATTAGAGGTAGTTTCAAACCAGATTTAATTTTAAATAATCCAATTACGAATGTCTTCTACGTAATTGTGTATAACGTATGGAAATTCTCTTCAATCTAAAGGATGACGCATCTCACTCTAACTAATCATCGATTTCTCGAGATGTTGCGTAAAGCAACCTTATTTGACGAAATTACATTTGAGTATTATATTTCAAATAAAGATAAAAATTAATTTCGCACTTGATATCGAATTTTAATACATCCTTTCACGTTCGTTTCATGTGAAACGAAATAATCTCCTTTAAAGTGTATGAAAACGTGTCAAGTACAGATATTCCCATGTCAATATTGAAAGGTTTATTTGAATTTGGTAATTTTCGATTAATTTTCAAAAAGATTTTTTACTTTCTTATTCATATTTATTTTACACTTTAAATTGTGAGATCTAAACTTTCGTAATAGATCTTAAACTGGGACTTCGAAGAGTTGGAGTTCTTTAAAGTTTATACAACTTTGAATAGGTTAAAGGATAAACCGGGTGTAGTTTAACGGGTTGTTCTTTATAGTTTTGAGAAGTTAAAATTGTACTTACAGCTACCCGAAAAGTTCATAGGGTGCGTGATGGCATCGTAACGATCTATAGACAACGCTACAAGCACGTACGTTGAAGAATATGTGACGACGGCTTGCAAAAACTTGATTAATTTGCAAAGAACGTTCCCCGCGTGCCAAGCTACGGTTATTCTCCAGACAATATCCGTTGAGACACTGATTAGACCGACCGACAAATCTGTTTAAAAAAAAATAACATAGAACAAAAACAAAGAAAATTTTATAATAACATTTTTTTTACCTGCTATAGCTAAGTGCTTAATAAAAAAGTTCATCCTCGATTTTCTACTTTTCCCCACAAGTAACGTAACCAAAACAGCCGAATTTCCCAAGACAATCATCGTAAAGAGTAACCATACCACCGTAAATTGAATGGTCTGAAAAAAAATTAATTACCCATAAATTAATTAAGATTAAAAGCGGTTTAATTAATTATACAATTGGGTAACCGAAAGTTTATTCGTGACTACAATAAGTAAGTCATCAATTTGACCACAAAAAAAAAGAAAATAAGTCACCATCAATCAATGAGCGCATGATTTCACTTATGGTAATGGATCTCGCAAAACCACCAGAACAATGGCTTACGATTTCGTAAACCATAACCTAAAGACGACGACATGAACACCATATTAGGTATTTTGGAATACCAACTATTTAGGATGACCGTTTTTGGAATGATAGTGACATCACCTACAACCGAGTTAGTTTGATTCGAAAAAGCTTCATTTTCAAGTATTTATGTTTAAGTCCAATTCAAATTAAAAAAATTACTTTATGTTGATTTCAATCAAAAACGTTAATTGATTAAATATGGAAAGGCGATCGTTGTGTCAAGTTCTTTTATCACATGTCTTGTGGCGATTAATTAGTGTCAACTCGAAACAACGCCGCGCTGGGAAAAAAGCTGTAAAAAAGTTACTACCCCGTGATTTAATTAAATTCTCGTTTGACATCGGCTTCATACTAAAAAAGGCTCTTTGGGTATTTGATGTTCAAAAATGAATACGGAAGCTATCGAATTCTTTGTAAAAAATTAATTGGTGTTTTTGATTGATTCGTATCAAAATAACCTTTTATATGATTAAATAATCGTAGTTTATGAAATATTACAAAGTTATCCTTTAATTTGATGAAGATTTCAGGTTTTTATTTTGCTTTTCTGTGATCAGTCAAAAGTGCTTTCAAACATTCTTTGTTTTCTTTCTCGTCTCCGTTGATTCTTTTTCTAGATTCTTTTTTCTATACTTTTTCTTTCAGTCTCAATTTTCCCCGCTAAGTCTCTTTGTACTAATAAGACGAGTTGAAAAATATGAAACATACTTCTTCTTTTCTGTTTTGTCCATTTTTTTTACTCCTATATCTCGTCTACTATATTAAGCTCCAAGATAACCTCCTGGAGGGTATCCTCTCAACCGTCGTGTTCGGATCATAGACATATTCAATTTAAAATTGACGTAGGGATGAAATCAGACTGTACGTACCGTAATCGCAGTAGCACTGATTGGGATCCGTTTAAGAGTTGTCTTGCAGATATCTTACATACCTAAATTCGACCCATCAGCCTAACGCCATTTCTGTTGAAAACCCTTGAAAAAGTTTTGGAACGGTATATCCGTACGGTGCCATTGGCATCTGGTCCACTACGGGAGAATCAGCAGAATTGGCTCTACACAACTTAGTTGGTAGAGTATCCAGGACGCTGCAGGATAAAGAAATCTTGGTTTGTGTGTTTCTCGATATAGAAGGACCGCTCAACAATGCAATACCACAATCTCTTGAAAGAACTACTCTGGCAGAGGTGTGGAAGCAACTATAGCGGGTTAGATCCGTAATATGCTTGATAGTGGAATAGTTTCTACTTCACTCCATGGTGATACGATACGCTTCAGGGCGAGAGGTGGCTGCCGCAGGGAGGGGTGTTATCTCCCCTACTTTGGTCCCTCTTAATTGACGATCTAATTGCGATAGACGAAGCCGTTGGTGTAGAAATACAAGCTTACGCAGGTGACATTGTCGTTATGGTCAAAGGAACCTGTTTGTCGAGGATATCTAAAGTCCTCCAGGTAACCCCAGATACCATTTGCGCTTGGTGTAAGGGAGAAAACCTCTCGATAAACTCACAGAAGACAATTGTTCTGCCCTTCACCAGGAAACGAAAGTTGGATGGACTAATCCGCCCAGCTATCCAAAGTGAAGAAATTAAAAATTTACATTCAAAATTGGGGTTGGATTGGGATCTTACCCCTGAAAGACTGTACTGGCTCTATGTGACTGTGGTTAGACCTATGACCACATACGGAGCAGCAGCATGGTATAGGAAAGTCCGGCAGACTTCAGTTATTAGTAAATTTTCACGAATTCAACGAGTAGCTGGATTGGCAATTTCTGGTGCGATAAGCACAACGCCGACTTTTGCAAGGGAGGTTCTGCTTAGCCTATCTCCTCTGCATTTGCATATAGAGAATGTGGCTAGAACAACCATTTACAGATTTAAGCAATATGCAATATAAGCACAGATACTGTGCTATTAATGCCGTCAGATTTGGCGGGATTACTATCAGTGATTAATGCTCGATACCGGATTGTACAGCCTGAGCGGCAGTCCTGGATCGAAAATGAAAATTTTCTGGTTCAGGCAGATATTGCGTACTGTATTGTATTCCAGGAGGAAATATTTGCTATTGACATGGGTGCTAAAATCCTTCTTGAGAGGGGTGAAGAACATGACAGTACGAATTTTCTCAGACAATCAAGCCGCTCTCCAGGCGTTGCAAGCCGTGAAAACGGTGTCGGTTCTGGTTAATGATTGTAAGAGAACACACTGAGTTGTGATAACAGAGTTTCTCTGATCTGGGTCCCGGGTCACTCTGGGGTTGCTGGCAATAAAGCGGCTGATGAGCTAGCACGAGATGGCAGCGCTGAAGCGTTTGTGGGGCCGGAACGAGCAGTTGGTGTATCATTTGCGATGGCCAAATATAGGATTGGACTGTGGGCTGAAGAGAGATTTCGCCTACTATGGATCAGTTCTCCTGGAATTAGACATGCTAAGGTGTTTATTAACTGGATGGGATTAGCCGACGATGTTAAATGCCGACTATGTGCGGAGGAAGCAGTGATGGTTGAGCGTGTTTTATGTCAAACATGCTCCAAAGGATCTAAATGACCTTTCGCCGAGCAAGGTATTAATGTTCGTTAAGAGCATTGGACTGCACGGTGAAATTTGATAACTAATAGGGGTACAATAGATCCTTAGGGTCGCGGTGCAAGGTTCGTTGGTTCGCTTACCCGATATGTAGTCTATGTAATGTAATGTAATAAGACGAATTGAAACATATGAAACATACTTACTCCTATATCTCGTCTATTTCTTGCATTTTCAGTATTCTTATTTCTTTTTGTTTGGTATCTTTGTTGCCATCACAGTCTTTTTCCAGGCTTCACCTTTTTGCTCACCCTCTTTTTTTACTTTCTAATCTGCGTTTAATATCATTCTACTATTATCACTTTCTTTCCAATCTTCTTCTATTACATCTCATCTTTTTTTTACATGTCTGCCTTTTCCAATCTTTCACTTTTCTGCTCCATCTGTTTCTTATCCTTCCAGTATCAATCCTTCAGTTCCACTCTGTTTGCAATCAAGTCATTGTCTGTGTAATCTCTTTACAGTTTCTTTCCAATCTTTTTTCTTTTTCCAGACTTGTTCTTTCCAATTGCATTTCGGTCTCTTTCTATACTCTGTTACACTTCTTTCTGCCCTATCTCTTTCGTCTATTGCCAGTCTCAATAAATTCATTTTAGTTAGATATTTATATTGGAAGATTTTACTGCGACCTTCAATTAATGAAATAGCATGTTTTTTCTTGAAGATTAGGTCATTATTTGTTTTATAGCAAATATGTGTTGTCGTAAAATAATTTTTGAGTTTGATAATTTTATGTATTTACATTCGTGATGCAATGTTTTCATGTAAGTAGATATGTTTACAAGTTCCAAAGTGGTTGTTAAAATAATAAATAAAGATTGCATACGTTCTAGTTATAACCGACTCCTCATTAAGTTAATACCAATGAATGCAGAGTGCGTTCGATAATTTATCAGTCGAATTATCCCGTTGGCATATCGCCAGAGGATTAAACCGCGGGTAGTCGCGGACCTCCTCGTATCGCCCATCGTCATCAACAAATCGCAGCACGTAAGATGTTCTCATCAAGTCCAATACGTACACGGTACCCGACGGCGGCTTCGCCGAACGGTTTTTGCCTATAAAGAAGGTTCATGAAGGAACGTCGCCGCAGGATTCCGTGTAAGGATCGGACCACACATCTGCTCCCGGACGGTACAAGCTAATACTAGTGTCACCGATGGATGTAAATGGAAATTGTTGGAGCATCTTATGCCGAGAAGTGATCGACGGCATCCGCGAGAGATCGTAAAATATCGGCCCATTAAAGCAGAGCCGAACGAAAAAGGCAACGCGGCCGCAATTAACGACAATTCATCGAAGGTTTTTATTCTGTTTATAGCCGGAAAAACAAGCACGTGGCGATTCGCGTGAAAAGGCCAAATGAAAACTTGTTTACCCGCAAGCGACACCTTTATTTTCGCACAACAAAAGTTTCTTTCTTATTACACCCAATAAAACATCGTCACGTGACCCTATAAATAGCAACAGGATCACAAAAAGCGATCACAAAATCTTTAAAATCAAAATAAGTTCTAAAATTTGTAGTTTACGGGGGTTTTCGATTGCAAATTAGGGAAACTGGTTAGAAAGCAATCTCTGGTCGATTGAAATTGGAGCCAGGATCATCGAAGATGTGGAAATAGCTGGGGAGCATGTGATCGTCCATTTTAATCAGAGTCGACCAGGAAAATGCGTTTGTCGAACGATTGCTTCGGGCGTTCCTCCATAAAACGGGAAACGAACTTTTCTCCTTTACCCTAACGTCAGTAGAAAAGAATAATAAATCTCTTCGATTGGATCGAATAATATAAAATATTATTTTATAACAAAATAACTCACGTCAACGATTACTAATCGGTCTAATCGCGATGTCATTATACCCTATAAACAGCAACATCACAGAGATCGCTTGATAGACGCTTTCAGTCACCGTTCTTTGATGTCCACCACTCACCGGTTTTGTCAGCCAACAAAAACACAAAAGTATTTATACTGAATAATGAGAACAGTTTGCTCATTCATTCTTTGAAATCCGGAACGAATTGTCTCACGAGATAAGAACGTATGGGCGTGTATGTGTCTAGGCGTCAACGCACAAAAAAATTGAGTCATCCATCAGTCTAGTTACTTAAATATCTCCATTACACATAAATAAAGAAAATATCTTAGTCATGTTTCTAAAAAAATTAAAAAGAAAATATTAACAATTCTTTAATATCCTGTGGAAGGATCTGGTTTTCCTCCGGATATTGAATCCTTGGATAAAATTCGAAGCCGAAGTGTCATTTTGCGTCGCGTCAACCCAATCTAATTGATGGCCGAAATATAACTCCTTGTTTGTCCTTGTTCGTGCTTCAAAAAATATGTTTTGATGACCGCCGACGTCGCAAATTTCAGAGACGAAAGATTTTCTTGCTTTATCCCATCTCTTATTGACGTAGTAACTTTATGTCCCATAAAGATCTCTACGAATATTCACACCAACGATTTTGAAACTATTTTTTTTTAAATTAATATGTTACATAACCCCAACATTCATTCCGAGAATATTAAATTATCCACTCCTACAAAACGAAATGATTTAGCACGTAATCATTAGTATTTGATTGGTATGGTGATTGGTATGGGTTAAGTTGTTAATATGTTATGAAAATTTTATTTGCTTAGATAGAATGGAAAAGGTCGATTAAGACAACGTACTTGTCTTTTTTTATGTGTCCCACTCCGACTGCGTAATCTCGCATTTGCCAAATCCTCCATAAAAGTCACGTAGTCGTTCTTCTTGGGTTTTCCTCCTTATTCCCTTAATCCAGTTGGGTCCCCTTTTTCCTTGGTGTTATTCGTCACAAAAGAACATAAACTTTAGAATTAATATCGTTGTTATGATTGAAGGAAATATAAAATATACCAAAGATGATCAAAGTAAATTTTGTCCGATTCATTAAATATGATTTAGTTTTAATACTTCCTTTTAAACCGACTAAAACGATATTCACACGATTAAGCAGGTAACAGTGTTGGAGTAATTTCCATGTTATTTCTTGCGGTAATGTAAGCGCATAAATATGACCATTGCTATTGGACGACGTTTACAGTAAATTCTGGTGCATTCTAGGGGAAATTGCAATCTCCCGACCATCTCTCCGATTTTACGACTTCGCCATTCAATTAAGAGTGGTACTGCCCCTTAAATCGTTCGACGCCTTTACAACTTCCAATAGTTACGAGCTTTTGGTTCTTAATTTCTATACATTTTACGTATGCAGGTAGTAATGTTGCTAATTGGTTTGAAACGCTATCTTAATTCCAACCCGGTGCAATCAATTTGGTTTTTATAGCTTTATTTAATGAGTTAATTTAAGTTTAGGTAATCAAAAAAAAAATACTCACCTCGTAGAAATAGAAAGGATCGACAGAAGCGGAGGAAGTTCCATTGTCTTGGGGAATATCTAGAGTGGAATTAACGGAAATTGTTCGAGATGTGGTGCCAAAGTCCAGGGACAAATTCCCTTCGGGTTCCGAGTGTCCGTTCATGCCTCGTATAATTTTCAAGTGCAACCGGTCGCCTCCGACAAAAATGTTCTCAGGAATCCCCGCGGCATTTTCGTTCCACGAATTAGATTAAAACGTTCCGCCCACACGTCGTGCTCACATACCGCAATTAGTTCTCCTGAAAACAAAATTAACAACAAGAATAAAAATTCGATTTAAAAATTCTTGTTAGGAAGTTCCAGGGGAAAATATATTAAATGCATTAGGGTTGTGATGAAATTATAAAAAATACTAAATTTACATGTTTAGCCAGCAGTATTTAGTCTTCTATTACGAGTATACAGGGTGATTCTCAACCTATACCATAAACTGAGTGATTTATTCCTCAGGACAAATTATGACTAATAGATGAAAAAAATTTTAGTAAAAGTTTTTTAGTTTCCTAGATACCCGATATAATCGGCGACATCTAGATAATGTGTTTCTTGGAAGATGGATAGATTGAGATGGTCCAATGGTCTGGCTACAGTGATCGCCCGGCCTCAATCCTCTTGATTTATACCTTTCGGGTTACTTAAAAAGCATAGTGTATGCCACAGAAGTAATACTCAGCAAATATTGCAAAATCAGATACATGCTGCTGCCCAGACAATCCGCCAACACCCCGTTTAGGCCGCGCTAGTGTGAGATCGTGGATTTGGGGAGCCCAATTGATAAAAAATATGGGAAATAATCTTTTACTACTAATTTTTCCTCCTATTAGTTATTATTCATGAGGAGTAAACACCCAAGTTTATTGTAACTTTATCTAGTCGTCTTTTAGCAATTTCAAGGCTTCTACAAGTGTTATCTATATTTATTTTTCAAAATTTATTTATTTGTATAGTCATATATTCAGGTAACGGTATCTAGTCGTCTTTTAGCAATTTCAAGACTTCTACAAGTGTTATCTAGTGTTCTGCTAGCAAAAAATAATGTTGTGCACGAAGTATTTAGTCTCCCGTTACAAGTATTTAGTAGTCAGGAAGCTGTATTTAGTTTTCTATTAGCAATTTCAAATCTCCCACAAGTACTATCAAGTCTTTTCTAAGCAAAAAGTAGTTCTGCCATCAGTATCTAGTCTTTTTCAAGCAATATCTAGTCTTCATTTAGAATATAAAGTTTCTGCCATTAGTATCTAGTCTTTTGCAAGCTATATCTAAGTGCTCAATCATAGTATCAGGTTTCTGTCATCAGTATTGAGTCCTTTGCAAGCAGCATATACACAATTAAGAAATATATGTTGCTAATTAATTATTGCTGATATTATTCGAGGATATTAGATATTAAGAGATCTATATATGTAACGATATTAGGATAGTCAGTTTATAAGAGATGGTGTTGATAGATGATGAGAGAGAAAGGATTATGTTGATGTAACAGAAATTTATGTAACGTAATGCGTAATATATACAGGTGTCCCGTTAAGCGTACGGAGCGGCTGTACCTCAACAACGGTAAGGCCTAGAGGTTTGGGAAAAAAATCTTTATAAGCAAAGTGGGCAAGAGAAATAGCTGGAAATTATTTTGAAGTTCGTAATTCGACCGCTAGGGGGCGTAACTGCCATTGAGAAACATAAAACTCCCGCTATCTCAGAAAGTTAGACGATGAGCTATAACTTTGACAACATCATTTAGTAGCTTGGATAATACCGCATCGCTTTTGTTTTGCAATATTTTTCATATCTGTCATAATAAGGGAGGGGGAGGCCAATGCGTTTTCAAATGTTTATATTTTAATATCTCCTGGACCATTCAACCGATTTGAATATTTTTGGTCTTGTTTGAAAGAGCATTTCATGCTTTTTTTAAAAATTCTTTCAGTAAGACCGCTTGGATTAAAACAAATAAGCTAGAGGGCGTTATCTGCAGCGGTTACATATTTTTGTGATTTTTGAAAAAAAGTTAAATGGAACGGTACTATTTACTTCACAGACCGTTAATCACCATAAAATTTGCTAAATATTAGTGAAAACCGCATCTCGATATCTCCATCCATTCTCGAATTATAAAAGAAAATGTTAAAAATTCGTATATCTTAATCGGATCAAGTTACCTTAGGAAACAAATAAGAGATAACTAAAATTTTATTATCTAGAACCTTCCTTCACACTTTATCCAAGCTTAGAACTGCTTCAAAACTACTTTTGAGGCGTGTTGAAAAGCCAACGGATCAATGAAACATCAACAATGATAATAAAACAAAATAAACCGAAACACTTAGAATAACTTAAATTTTTGGCAAAAATAGCTCACTAATGTTCGAAATGTCTTACATAAACCTCGATGCATTTATTTAATCTAGTTTCGACGAAAAAAAAAGCGCTGCTAAGTCTCTTCCCTGGACACGTTTTTACTGGTATTTAGTGTTTTGTCATATTTTCCCTGGTTATTGGTTTTTCTTGAAAAGTCAGGTCGTTTAGTCTACCCAATAGATAAAGGGGTGAAAGCAATGTGGGTTTTGCTCGAACCAAGAATGCATATTATGCAAATTTACATCAGCTTGTGGACAGATGCTTCATGCATCCATAGCATTTGTGATAAAAGGTTTGGATTTGCCCAAATCATATTTAAAAGTCAATGGTAATAGTTCAGTCTGTTATCATAATCGGTATCTGTTAAGGCCTGATGTAAAACAACGTGGTGGAGATATTATTCTCTTGAGAACTCTTGTGGACAATTGTTTTCGGAGTTCCTAGATTATGTGGGATCACATTGCGCACCAATGTGATTTACGAATTCATAGAGATGTCTGAATGGGCTACACGTTGCCAGTTTTCCGTAATCGCTAAGTCAATCTTAAAAACACTTCTAGAGAAAAATGTCTTTCTTTGTCGTAATTGCATTGCACATTTTTGCCATGCAGTTGCATCGTATCCGAAACATTGAAAATAAATCATCATACGCTCTATCATACGCTTCTGCGTTAGTAAATGACATGTTTACAGTTACCATGGTAATGTGATTTGTTTTTCTCGATGAGGTAACTGGATCCGATTGGTGGCACTCGAGTTTTTAACATTTTCTTCTATAACTCGAGAACGGGTGGCGATATCGAGATGCTGTTTTCACTAAAATTTTGCAAATTTGAAGGTGACTAAGGGTCTGTGAAGTAAATAGTATCGTTCCATTTAACTTTTCTTCAAAAATCACAAAAATATGTAATCGCTGCAGATAACGTCCTCTAGCTCATTTGTTTTAAAGCAGACGGTCTTACTGAAAATATCTTTAAAAAGAGCACAAAATGCTCTTTCAAACAACACCGAAAACATTCAAATCGGTTGAATGGTCTAGGAGATATTAAAATGTAAACATATGAAAACGCATTGGCCTCCCCCTCCCTTATTATGACAGATATGAGAAATATCGCAAAACAAAAGCGATGCGGTATTATCCAAGCTATTAAATGATGTTGTCAAAGTTATAGCTCATCGTCTAAGTTTCTGAGATAGCGGCAACTTTATGTTTCTCAATGGCAGTTACGCCCCCTAGTGGTCGAATTGCGAACTTCAAAATAATTTCCAGCTATTTCTCTTGGTCACTTTGCTTATAAGGATTTTTTTCCCAAACCTCTAGGCCTTACCGTTCTAGAGATACAGCCGCTCCGTACGCTTAACGGGACACCCTGTATTTCTTAATCAAGAGATTTCGCTACATCCGATTTCCTTGAAGTGAAATTTCAGGATGTTGATTGATTAAGGGTTTAAACGTGAGCCGTAAACAAAGTTTACCGAACTAGTAACTTCGGCAATGTATCCTTCGAAGCAGCTGCAATCAACGTTAGTTTAAAACCTTTTAGCAGTGATTAAATCGTAATGTTAACATTAACTTTGTACATTAAAACAAATTTACGGAAAGATTTAAAATTAAAAAAAACTATTTGTTTCTTAAAAGTCATTAACACATCGTTTTACTTTTTTCTTGTTTTTCTATCTACCGGTTAAGTTACACGAGGACTTATTTAGTAAAAGAGTTCTTGGTTTACAATGAGTGCCCCGAGGATTAATTAACGCCTCTGAAAATAACGCACGAACGGCAGCACCGCGAGAAGGTAATTGATGTAGTCCTTCTGTGCAGTCAATGTGTCCGGTTGTCAGACGGGCTGCTTACGACCGCTGACAGTTTTACTGCCGTGCGAATGTGATCTACGATGATCGTAGATCAGGCGGCTACTCAACCACAACCGATCTCAGTGAATTAAATAGATTTGAAACCAACTCGGCTGAGAAATAATTTTTTTTGTTTTAATTCTTTTTACTTTGTACTCACCACGTTGTAACAAAAAAGTAGGACGCGAAAAATGTTTTACCACCTCTGGTTGCTTGAAGATGTTTGCTTTAAAAGCGCGATTTTAAACACAGTTTATTTGTAAATAAATTCGTATCGATCGAAATTGTTTTAATTAAAAGAATTGATAATCAAAAAAACAAGAAAATCTCATTTGTCGTAGAAATAAATTTGCCAAATCGAAAACGTTCCATTCGACAGTAAATAACTTCCTTAAGAACGATTCGTTAACGACAGTAGACCAATAAAGTGACCATAAAGGGTAACGAAATGGACTTCAATATAACCCAAAACGATGCCTTGAAACCATTTCTCGATTATTAACATTTTCAACGTCGCCGCTAAAGAACGTATTAAGGAAAATATTTTTCACTACAACTATAACAGCAATACAGACCACCCGTTGTCAGATCCGAAATTGCAACTCGAGTTTACATTAACGAAAACATCTCTGAAAATGGATAAAAGTGGTTGGATATTGTATTGTTGAAGTAACGGTAGTAAACGGGAAGTTTATCCGAGATAAAAGCCTTTTTCGGCCGAGTACGAACCGGCTCTTTGCATTCTTTATTAAAATGGGAGCGTATTTACAAACTGCGTTGCTCCCATTTTTTAAATTCTGATATTATATGTATGTAAGTGTTTTAGATTGAATGTTATACTTATGTCAAAGGCTACGAATACCTAACAAGCGGAAAATACAGGGTCGAGGAAACGTAGACAGCGTTATCAATCTCGGGAGTTATGCCAACAATTTCGGTACTTCTGGAAGACAATAGAAAATAGAACCCCTGGCGTGTTAAACGTTCACTCGATTCAATTAATGAACATCTTGAAGGTAAATTAAGGACT